CCTACAACTGTTGAAGCTCAAGGTCTTAATCATGAAGCGTGTGAAAGACGCCACTCTGATTTCAGTTCAGTGTGATCACAACTGCTGTCCTTAATGTGTAAGCTACGTAGCACGATAAGCAGTGGATGTTTGTGAACTTTAATGTTGAATTAACTTCTGTCTATCAGTTTTCGATACGCAAATCTACAGTAAAGTCCATTTGTGACAATTAAATTTTAATACCCATTTAAAATAATAATAATAATAATAATAATGAGTGCAAAAAGAAAAATGTGCAGACATCAATATTGCACTTTTTAGAGAATAAAAAATGAACTGCAAAAAACATGAATTTTTTAAAATTATTTCTAATAAGGACATTTGAATTTACTAATCACGTTTTATTTACTGAAAAACAGAATTTTTTTTTGGAACCAATTATCGTTTTTTTGTATGTATTTAGTTCCTTGATTAGTCCAGTTTCAAACAGTCCAGGATACTGGCAGAACCGATTACCCGGACTATGCGAGGTATTGCTGTACTTCATTACAGCTTCAGAAAGTCAAAAATATGCTACAGTGAAACCTCAAATTTACTCTTCTGAATAAACAGAGATTCTAAGAAAGTGTAAAATCATGAAAACAAGAATGATGCAACATAAGGGAAAATGTTGGTTGCTTTATACCACAATTTTGGCAAGACTTTAACATATGCATATTTGATCACAATGACAATATAAATGCAAATACATTAACCTACATACCATGTTATTTCTTTAACTAGTCAAACAGTGTCATTTTTTTCTTTTTTTCCTTGAGCTGTCAGTCTTGTATAACTCTCTATTCTGAGGATGAAATAAAAATCATATGCAAAGTGCAAACCTTGAACATGAATGAAATGGTGACAGTATTTCTTTGAATTTTCGAAAATGCATCATTTTAATCATATAATCAGGTAAATTTCCATTGTCACGACTCAAAAAATGAAGTTAAAATTCAGGGACAATATAAGTTTGAGTAAACAAAAGATGTATTAAAATCTGACATTGTTCTTATGGGTATTTCTCTGGGATCAAATGAAAAGTGCATAAAATCAAGACACATATAAAATCCAAGAGCACAAAATCAAAGTTTCACTGTGTACTGGAGGCAGACCACAACTTGGGTCAGCCTGCTGAGTCTCAAAAGAAAACTGTTAAATATCACAAAGAATTGTTATTTAACTCACTGGTATACTGCCAGTAGCAATTTTAGACATTGTCCTCCTTCAGTGATGCAGCCTATTCTCATGACCAATTTAAAAGAAATTTCACATTATCTCTACAAGTGATGAGGTTACATAGGTATTATAGAAATTAATTGCTAAGCTGTTAATCCAAAAAATGACAGCTGAATTTAAAATAGCCACAGAAACTGCACGAGCGCCCAATCCAGAGAATGACAGCTGAACCTAATATGGCCATAGAAACTGCAGATGAGCTCCCAATCCAGAGAATAACAGCTGAACCTAATATGGCCATAGAAACTGCAGATGAACTCTTAATCCAGAGAATAACAGCTGAACTTAATATGGCCATAGAAACTGCAGATGAACTCTTAATCTGAAGAGTGACAGCTCAAGTGTTAAAAGAAATTCAAGGGTCCCCATCTAAGCAAATTAATGCAGTATGCCGAATGGATGAGCACAAACTAGGAACAAGATGTCACCACCTACAGATACATACTATAATCAAGGTGTACTGTGAGTATCATGACACATAATATGTATCCAGATTCAAGAAAATGAAAAGGGGGACTAATCACTGTATTAATAAAATATGCAAAACCTTTATACTGAGCAAATGTTTTTTACCTTTTCTCTTCCTGGAGCAAGTACTGAGAACACCAATATAATAAGGCCACCACAGTGATACTCCAGCTTAGGAACATTTAAAAAATTATATCAGTTCATATCTTGCATTCAACATTTTCTCCAAACAAAATACAGTAGCAGTAATAGTAGGATATCATTAGAAAATATTTAACTGTTCTTTACAAAAGCCCACATTACACCAATATAAATTTAAAATATAGTTCTTTGCTTATGGGCACTGCACCATTCAGGTTTTTCTTAACAGTTCAAGTCAACACCTAATGCAGGGGTAGAAAAACCAGAGGCCAGACATGAACTTGACAAACAAGTGAACCTGAAAGCCACCTCTTCAGGGAACTTTACCCTTTCTGCCAATGAACCTTTAAAGCTGATAAAGATTTTGCTAGGCCTGGCTTGATGCAATCTGTCTGATGCTTAGTGATGCTTATAATGTAATTCATTTAAAAAAAGGCACAACCATGCAAAATACTTGATTTTCAACAGTTTCTGATCATCTCAAGCACAAAGGTTTGTTTTTGTGTTTTCAAATTCTATGAAACAGCTTTCGCATAGATAGTAACAATAGGTTTGGCAGTAACTTTGTACTGTGGACATCTTATGGTCCAATTATGGTTTGCTTGTTCACCCCTGTTCTAATGATTCAGAATGCTTCCAAAGGTAAAGACAGAAAGACAGCATCATATATAATCCTATTTATACAACTATGTTAGAAGGTATATTTTCTATAATCCTAGCTACCATTTTTTGTCAAGTCTCTAAACTTTTTAATGTCGTACATATGTAGGGGGTGAGGAAAGACAGAAATAGTCTCCATTTTGTCATCTTTGACAGACATACAATTCTAAGCTTCAACATATTACAGAGACTGCACACTCAAAGAACACTTTAATTTACTGCAGTTACTGATGATATCAATGTACAATTTGAGGTTCTCACAATGATGAATATTAAGACTGTGGTCTTCTGCCATGAAGATGGAGGCAGCAGGTTCCTCCAAAATGTTGGTAGCTGTCTACCAGATTACATGTCACATCCCAGAACATGCACACGTCAAGGTATCCATATTTTCAATATTTTACAGCCAATATGTCTGAAAGATCTTAACCTATAAAAGAAATGTATGTATCATGGAGTACATCTCATAGAGATCTCTAACTCCATGTGAAAACATTCTAGTCTGGCAAACTCCTCACAAAATGTTTAATTAATTACACAATTATCTTAATGCCTAAATTGTAATTTATTTAAAAACATTCAGTGTAGAATTCTGTCAATACTGAAGACTTCTGGGACATGACACCATAGAACATCCTGGAAAACAGCAGTCTTTGGTCAATGAAGTGAGAATCTCAAATTCAATATCTGTCAATACTGTTAAACAGGAGTGAGAATGATATGCTTTTAAAGATACACAGGGCAAATTTGCTTCCTTCTGAAACACAGATGTAGTTTCCCTTTCTGTAACACTTGGGTTAACTATGTCTGGTAATTTCTCCAGCCAAAATAAGAGCACCAGTTCACCCTTTCCCCAACCTGTTCATGTGGTTGCTATATCAGTCATTAATTTGACTTGCTTCATCCTGGTCCGTCACACTAACAAGAGTATAAAAGATTGTTAATGCCATCCAGTGTGACTGATATATTTTTTTTAATCTTTCATCCTTTACATGTTTTGGTCGAAGTGACCATCTTCAGAAGGAAATATCAATACATTCAGAAACAGTAATGTTTGTATTTACTGCTAATTACCAGGGCCTGGATTTTGATGACATGTCATCTTTTTTCCTTGTATCCTATGCGATGCTCTTAAATATATAAATCTCGGATATGAGCTGCTGGTTACAGAAATGTAAATTTTTGTCATTTTTTGGTTTAAGGTAATTTTTTGGACTTTTAAGGGTATTTCTTGTAATTTTTGGACATTTTAGGGAATTTTTCTTCATATGTTTTCTGAAATGTGAATAACATGGAAGTGAAGTGTTCTTTCTTTTCTCCTTCAGGTCATTTTTCTGGATCTTTTCGGCCATTTTCTTAATATTTTCAGGTCATCAAAATCCGGGTCCTGCATATTACATTTTTGGGTCATATTTTAGTAATTTTTCTGGATTTTTTCGGTCATTTTTAAAATATTTTCAGGTCATCAAAATCCAGGCCCTGATAATGACCAATGGCATTGTAAATTTGAACATAAATTGAAAAACTTTCTTATAGAAAACCTTTTTATTCTGTTGAAGATATCTTGATAGGAATAATAAATTTGATCTTAGGGCATCCCAGTAATTATAACTTTGTATTTTAGTTTGCATTCATTGGTTTCTTATATATATTTTAACTGTTGTTTATTTTATGTTAAGACAATTTTATGTAATATATCAATGTAATCTACTGATAATTTCTATATCCAATGGTTAGGTACTTGAATGGATCAATGAATGATAATAAAATAAATAAATAAATGTATTGATTTGTCCTTCTGAAGATGGTCACCTTGACCGAAAACAAGTAAAGGATAAAAGATTAAAAAAAGAAGAAAAAACATATCAATCACACTGTACAGCGTTAATAATCTTTTACACTATCAGTCATTATGATGAGATTATATGGAAGTTACAATCTTATGGCAGACATTACTTTAAATATGGAATACAAATACAGCCTACATATAAATCATTCACATTCTGATACTCAGTACTGTTTCAAACTTTACTGTCACTAGAGTTATACATCTAACTGTAATACATCTTTGAATTATCTTTGCTAGAAGGCTATCTTCAGACCTGGTAATGAATATTAAAAGGAGAATAATGGAGCGGTTGTGGTATGTGATAAGTAACTATACTTAAATATACAGATAAACAAGTAAAGCTATCCCTGTAACAGGCTGTAAAGGCCCATAGGGTTGTGAGACGTTGAGGGTCCAACATTTTCTAGGCAATGGGCTCATAGATGGCGGTAAGGTTGTCAGCCTTACACGCCGGCTGCGCTTTACTCCCCAGGAAAGTTATTTAATTAATTCCTGGTACTCATTTCTGTTAGAGGCTGAGTCGACCCCAGGGCCATAGTGTGGCTGGAAGGATTAGGTCAATTGAAAAAAAAATCCATTGACTTCATCGGGACTTGAAACCGTGATTTTCGGCTTGTAGCACAGCCCCTCTACCAACTACACTACCGCGTGCTCCCTAAATATACAGATATACCCATAAAAATAAAAGATATGGTGCAGTCGCATTTTATGACTGAAAGCTTTTGTGAAGACCTCCAGTAATTCAATAAAAGTTTTCTCATAGTTCTGAAACATATGTGATTGTTGCCGAATGTTTTTTTGGGGGGGGGGATTCACATTAGTTCAAACTTTGTGCATAAAGTGAGACTTTAACTTTTCTATCGCACTATTTCAAATTCATATAAAATGTGACCGCATTGTATTTAACAATATCAATACCTATACTGTCTGTCTGTGTAAGAGAACTGACTCAACCCTGCAGCATAAAAGCCCACTGAGCTTGCATAGAGCCACTCTATCATAAGACTAATAAGTATTTACTAATTCTAGTTTTCACTTAGTTACTTCAGTACTAGCACAATTAAATAATGATTAGTATGGGAAAATGTTTTTATGATGGCATTTAGAAAGATATAAAGGTGACAAGATCAAGTAAATTCTCTATTCAGACAAACAACAGATATTATGATATGTTTTTTGATATGTCTGGCTTCTGAATATTCTTTCATGGGTGAAAGAAAATATATGCATACAGTTTCAACAGCTACTGCTTTCTTTTTGACAACAGACAGAAATTATTTCCTAACAGAATAAATTATAAATATTTATAACATATATTTTAAAAGACTATAAAAGATTATAGACTCTTAACCTTACTTTAAGCAATAATACTATCTTAAACTATAAACACAAAAACTGTAGAAGCTAAATGACAAGTGAAACAGTTTGACAATTCTTAAAAAAATTCTCCACCATCAAATTTCATGAAAATTTACTTAGTGACTCTCAATCTGTTTCATATACAGACAGACGGAGAGACAGGCTGAGAAAAATTAATAGGTGCATGACTGAGCCACAAGCTGGATATTCAGCACACATCTAATTGAGAGTATACTGCTCACAGATGAGAAAATCAGAATTTGAACAGAACATAGAGACTTCCCTTCATCAGACTAAAATAAGAATAATTTCAATTTTAAGGTCATGAGAGAGCTCAATACACGTTTCCAGTTAAATCTGTAGGGCAGTGAACGGTTAATAATAATAAAATATATAAATATAAAACAGAAAACACAAATAAAACATATATAAAAATTGAGCCCCAAAAGTAAAGCTGTGATTGTTCTCTCAATTTTAAGTGGAAAATGAGGCTCATAAGAGGTAAAAGGCACATGTAAAAAGTTGTCTCTAATGTATTAATTAAAATATTCAAATTATATCACATGTAACCAATAGATACACACAACACAAAACATTAAAACTGTTCTTTACATCAATGTTTTTGGTAACTACATTACTTCCTGCCTAGCTAGCATGCATGTGAGAAACAAGAAATGCATAGAGATTTCTGATCAGAAATACTGAAAGGAAGAGAGCTGTAAGAAGACTTAGTTACAGTTGGGAAGATAAGAAATAGGGTGGGGAGGGTGTGGGCAAGATTAATCTGGTTCATGATAGGGGCCAGGGGTGGGCTCTTTTGAAGAAACAACCTACAAATTCAGTAAAAGGTGGTGAATTTCTTGACTAGCTGAGCAATGATTAGCTTCTCCAGAAAGACTGGTCCATGGAGTTAGTTCTAAGCTGTGTGAAAATGTAGTTGATAACAAACGTTTCAAAGGTGATCTCTGCCTCTGTCATCAGGGTTAATGCGATGTGTGATATAAGTTACATTTACACACATTACACTGTCAGAGCCCAGCAACCTGTCCAAGCATCGACCACTATAGGAGCAGTGAGTGGAGTCTGGTGGTCAGCCGTAATATTCAGACTGTCTTGTCAATCATTGCACCTTCCATCACTTCACGGTGAGCCTAATCTGCGGGAGTGTGCCAGTAGCCACACATTCCTGGTACCCATTACCGACACACTCCAATCAAGTTGGGCCAGCACAAAACAATGGAAAGAAGGATCAACAATAAACAGCATCCAGGACTGTCCAGTGCGGTTAAGCAACGTAGACTGGATGTGATGACTGGCCACTACACTCTGTCCAATGTTCCTTGAGTGACCTGTAAGACTGCAGAGCATATCTGATTGCAGCTGAAAGGCTAATGCACTTCTGGTACAGTGATAAGGGTTTCGATAATATAATTCAATCTTTGTTGCACCTTCTAGCAAAGACAAACTCTCTATACATACCTCTTTGCACAGAAATTACCTTGACATGTGTAGAGTTCTACAACAAGACTCATGAAAGTTTTACGAGAGTAACTGTCAGTACAGGCTCTCTTTGTAGACATTCATTATCAGTCTTCATTGTCTCCTATTGGGCTCCTAGCTGATACCGAATTTGTCAGTATTCCATTTGTCCCTTCCTGATGGATAGAGAGATAAAATAACATTAACAATTCCTCATCAGAGGTTGGTATGTCTGTTTCTACACACTTAATGGATCTGGATGGAATTGAATAAGGTCTACCAACAAGTTATAACATAATTTTAATATTGGTTTATACCATCTTGTACAATCCCTACCTCACTGTACACATAAATGAAATTCACCTAACTCAAAAGTGGCTCATTACACAGCAGTACTTGTGACTTATGACTTAATGTGATCCCAAAAATTGGCTCTAAGTCAGGCTCATAATATGGGATGTATAGGGTTACATTTCCAAAACTCAAAGCTGAAATACATTTTTCAATACTTTAACCCCTAGTATGACATAATTCTATTGTTTTTATTATAAAATCAACAGGAAACATAAAATAACATATCACGAACCATTTAACTATCTGAAGTATTAAAAATAAGTAAATTTATCAGGGATGGGTAAAGCGTTATGATCTGAGCCGCCAAAAAGCATTATAACATAGTTTAAGCCTGAAATTTGACTTCTGATTCATAGGTCTTAAAAATTCAACTGCAAGTCTGATGTATATTAAATTAATGGGATCTTATGTCTGGAAATTTGTACAGCAGAAAGACTTATGTTAAGGTATGACTATAATACAATGGAATTGTTAAGTCAGGAAATTCGTAAGTTGTGAGGATGTACCAGATTGAGATACAAGTGTACAAAATGAGTGTACGACTAGCAAACAGCTAATGTTCTGGTACTGATTCATGTGATTCTTTGCATAATATCTTTAGTACTATAGCATGTCTGCTAAAAGCCATATTTGTGAAGCCGGCAGAGCCAGCCGTTGTTAGGGAACGGCTCTGTAAACATGCCTGTTGCTAGGCAATGGTTCAGTAGCTGTCATTTGAAAATTCCAACAGAAGAGCTGTTGAGAAGCTGTGTTTTCTCTGTGGTCCATGTCAAAGCTATATAATGAGGACCAGCTGCCATTACCAGTCAGTCCAAACAGAGTCTTAGCAAAGTCTGAGTCGAGTCAAAAGACTGTCTGCAGGTTAACAGTCAGTTGAGAGTTGCAAAAGCTGGTAACTGAGGCTGGGGACAAGTTGGGAACAAAGAGGAGGGGAATGCCTGCTGTTGGAAGCCATTACCAAGTAGCACAGCGAAGATGTGACCACAAATGATAGTTAAAAAGAGTCCAATAAATCCAATTATGAATCCAAACCCTGCCTACAGTAACACTCCATCACATGACAATACATTTTCCTCCATCACTAAAACAACATACTCGTACACTGTGTATATATAGGACATAGGTGCATCCCCAGCCTTTCACCTGAAGATGGAAACAGTTGCAGTTTCTGAAACACTGTTCTCTTTGAGAATATTCAGGAATGACACTGAGCATTTTCTTGAAGGGAAAACTTGATTAAATCCATAGTTTAAAACCATTTCTTATGTTCTCTTTCTGAACACAATGTTTACCCACTATAAACACTTACCAATTTGTTCCTAATATTTATATGCACCAACAGAGAAGCCAGTTCGAGGTCCTCACTGTATGCATTCTTGAGCGGAATGCTGCGATAACCACTCCGCAGAGTTGAGACCTACACAAAACTACGTGTTAAAAACGTCTGCATTCTAAGATTACAATCTTCTGGGAAATGGTCAGAGCTGGAAGAAGTGGTAGAAGCTGTCTACTTAGTTTCAGAGTGATTTCTTTTAAGAAAGCTATTTACAGTGCCCTAAGATGTCATGACTATCATCCTTAATAGTTAATGTAGTATCGCATTCCTAAACATGCACTGTGATAATTTTCTTTACAATATCTACAGTCATTCTCTGGGCTCTGCAATTGATCTGGAGACTCTAGCTACTTGTGAAGAGTTGCTTCCACCCCTGGACGTGATAACCTGTAGTGTGGTAGATACAAGGAAGGGTCTTTCAAATAAAAACTGCCTGTAGCGATGTGAGTGAATATATCCACTTCTAGGTGATCACAGTGCTGTGCATAAACACAACCACTGACCTGCCTTCTATCCACTAGAGCATATGGCAGTCAACCAGGTGAAATCCCCTGGAGAATGTGTGCCGTGTATGCAAATACATTTGTTTTAAAACCAATGATAAAAGGAGTGGTTTTGGGCAGGTTCTGCACTTGGAATGAGAGCATTTAACTGTGTCACACTGTCCCTGTTTGCTCTAATAAACCAGTTCTGCTGAACAGCTTGTACTACTGATTTCTCATGCACCCAGCCAGGCGATCACCTGTGACTGACTGTGTTCACTAGAACCATGAACAAGTTCCATTTGAATAATACTCATTCGTGTCAATGTTTCAGAGGAGCCTACCTACCAGACTACATGGGGTCCAATACAAAAAGACTGTAATCCCAATATTTACTGCTATGAGAACTTCAATACATTTCCAACACACATAAAAGAAACAATGAAACAAAAAGTATACTCACATTTCCAAAAACATAATTTGCCAGATCTGAGGTTTGTGCAGAGATATTGGGTTTTCGGACTTTATCCATCGCCCTGGTTTTTAAGATAACTAAGAAAAACACGACGTTTCGGAAACTGGATCTGTTTCTGTCCTCAGGTGAGGGAAAAACACCTATTCTGTTGGGTCCCTTACAAAGACTGGGGCTAGCTCTTTCTAAGGGACCCAACAGAATAGGTGTTTTTCCCTCACCTGAGGACAGAAACAGATCCAGTTTCCGAAACGTCGTGTTTTTCTTAGTTATCTTAAAAACCAGGACGATGGATAAAGTCCCAAAACCCAGTATCTCTGTGTGTTATACACCATCATCATAATCCTATAGTAACTACTGAGGTTTGTGGTCCCTAAATTGACTGCGATGGGAAAATGTTTCTTATATTCCGAAATTACATCCTATCTTAATTTTGAATGTTGGAAATTAGAACTCGCACCTAAAGAACGTGAATTATTATATTCCCTGACTTCAAATGAAAGTTGGGCCTTATTTAAACAATTCCAAGCATACGAATAAATGCTAAAACCCGCATAACCTGAAGAGATTTAACAACGGTCACACCATAAAGCAAAACTCATACCAGAAATTTCTTGCTGGGGTCACAAATGCTTGAAATAACATCCAAAACCCCTCTGTCTTCATGGTATGATGTCTATATGTGGGGATAATGTTTACATTTATAGAAATTAGTACATAGTCCACTTCTGTATAAATATCAACTAACCTATGCTTACATGATGTCGGTGCAACTTGATACTTACAGAATACGTTGCCTGTCCTATGAAGTTTGAATCGCCAAACACATCCTCATCTTGGACGACGAACCTGAGTAGAGCAAAGTGTGGGTTGATCACATCAAATTCACAGATCTCGTTCCACACTGGGTTAAAACCATTATCAGCTGCAAAAAGGGTAAGAATGACATTTCCTAGACTGAGAAAATTCCTATCTAAAAGATCATAGCTTTCTGTTCTGTTATTATGTGTGTTAGTACCATCAGAGTCTGTAGTACAGTATACTTCTGGCCTGCCATGTAAACAAAGGGGGACAGATGCATAAATAATCAAAAAACATAGACAATCGATTTAATGTCAATTCGGAAATGTACACAAGGCGTCTGATTTGTTTAATTATCTTGAAAAGCTTAAGACTGAAGGACAAAAAAAAAAAAAAAATAAAATGCATGTTCCATTTCTGTCTGCAACTTTTTATTCCAAACATTTTTGCTCTGATAAGTGTTGTGCAAGTTATGTTCAAGATATATGCAGAAAGGTATGTAGATGATCATGTAAAGTGACTGTAAAAACTGCCTCAATCTAATGAAGAAAATGGCTCTAGAATTTTTCATACAACTCTCCAATATCAAATTTCATTAAAATTTGTCTGTTTTCAAAGTTTTTCAGGTTTACAGACAGACAAACTGAGTAAACTAGACACACACTTTGCAGAAATAAGAATGTGCTTACACAGCATGTTGCCTGTGACCCCAACCCACCCAAACACATATTAATCTCAAATCAACTACAGTTAATTTCTATTACATTTAGTATCAAGCTCAATCCATAAACAGTAGTCTTCTGGCATGACACTGTGTAGTCTGGTAGATATCTGTGAACATTTCCAAGGAACCTGCTGATTCCATCTTCAGGGTAGAAGAGTATGACAAGTGTGGGGGAAAAAAAATTGTATGGAAACAGAGAAAGGCAGAAACCTACTGTCACAAAACGGGCTTATCCTATTGGCTTGCTCAGGGTCCTGGGCTTGCCCTCCCTGTCCTTATATCTGTACCACTTTTTTCTACACTTGGTTGCTCTTCTACCATGATGATAGAGGCAGCAACTTTCTGCAACACGTCAGGCAAAAGTCATCTCCAATTTAGTTTATGTATAAAATGGTTAATCACTGAAAACATCTTCTGTCACTCAAAGAACCAAATCTAACATCACTTACAGACTGTCTTTGTGGTCAGTTTTGATCCTGAATCATATTCAGCACCGACCACTTCGATTTCCACCGATGGGCTGGAAGTCCCACGACCAGATCTGCTTAGATGCCTTGCTCCAATCACCCGTATTGACAGGGTGAGTGGCTCCACTCCCACCAACGTGTTCTTATCGTATGGATCAAAATCTTCCCTGAACATAAATTCTGGTCTCAAGAGAAAGCCACAGTTTCTGTTCTCTCGAAACTTGGCTTGATTCAGCTGCATTGCTTTGTCTGCAAAGAGGGCACCAATGAAAATTCATGGGAAGATGCCTCAATACAGCCATTCTTTGTTGTACGTTACATAAATGGTTCTTGGAACACAAGCTTTTGTCAGCTCCATTTAGAAGACTGGTGTGTGGTGCAACCAACCCAGTTTTTCCTTTTTTTGGGGTGTGGGTGGGGGAATTTATATTTTAAATGTGATTTTACTATAGAGGCAGGGTCCATTTAACCTTACTATTTTCTTCCATGTTAAGGAGAACCGAAGGGTTAAAGGTATAGTGCAGCACAAAAGTTTAGATCTGGACCCTATTTCAGTTTAGCTGACAATCTAGGTTCAAAAATAAAATTTATCACATAATTTTCAAGAACAGTCTTCTTCATGTCCCAGAAAGGTATATAATACACAATGTCTTCCTCATTATTTGTGGGCTGTACCCTATGTATTACATGTTACATATATCAAATAACAGTCGATCAATGTGATCAATAACATTTGCACTTTGTGTAACGAAACTTTAGAAGTATTGTCCCTTTATTCCCTTAACATATTTGAAGACAGTCAGACCTAAATATACAAGTTCCCAAGTTACGAGTTTCTGGACTTATACAATCCAATTTAATTAACAACCATCAGGCTTACACTCTGAATCTTTGAACTTACAACTCAAAATTCGAATTTTGGACTTCGGACAACTTCTTCAGAAAACTCAAGGCCCCAGTGACCACTATTACAAAATTCTTTGCCAAACTGAGTCCTTTCCACAATCATATATAACCAAAGCACTCCTACCAGAACTCAATGCGGTACTGGAGATGCCAGATTTTAATTAAATAAAAATGTATTTCTTCATAAAGTCTGTAAATATTCTAATAGTTCAAATCATTCTTAACAACCTGTGTTATAATGCTCTGGTGGCTTAAATCAAATTCTTAATGATCTATGTTAAAACATCAATTAACTTATATTTAAAAGTAAAGTTGTCCCTGTGCTTAGCTAATTAAGCACTACGCCATGAAGACGTACAGGGATGTGCAGATCCATGTTTTCTTGACCGCACAAGTTGGAGGTGAGTGGTCAACTTCATGCCCCAGCTGCTTTAACGCTGGGGAAAGAGAACCTAGTACCCATTGGATAGGAGACTGGCTGAGCCCCAGGGCCAGTCTGGACAACACTGAGAAGTGAAATTCTCGTCCCTACCGTGACTCCTTAGTTGTCCAGCCCGTAGCCAGTCGTTATACCAACTGAGTTATCCTGACTCCCAACTAACTTTATTTAACAATTTAAATGTGTAATGTTAAGTTATTTCATGTCCCTTTGTTGATTTTATAATAAAAGAAATATGACTGCATAACAGGGGTTAAAATGTTGGAAAATGGCTCCGAGTCTTGAGCTCCAGGAGTGTAACCCTACATGTCCCATATTATAATGAACTTGATGTGCAATTGTTCAATGTATGACAGAAATGTATTGAGTCACAGATCCAAGGTACAACTATGCTGGGCAGTTTGAATGTGCAGTCACTGTACCTGGTGTCTGGTAGTTGAGTGCTACCATTTGACCTCCTGAGTTCCATATAGGGATGGGATTGTAATTGGAAGAGTCTATACGCTGTCCTTTTGGATAGACGCGGCTAAACTGGATCTGTTTAAAACATGAACAAATCAGCAACTGGAGACAACTTAGTTAAACATGCTCAAATCCAGGATTACATTAAGTACTGAACACCAGATTTCAATGTTTGGTGTTCACTCTTTTTCCATGAAAAATAAATGGTACACATGCATATGTACAACTTTCTCTTCCTGAAAATCTATTCTTGACAGTGTACATGAAAAAATTTCAAAAGTTTTCAATCACAATATTTACGTATTGTCACATGTAGGGGGTACGAGTGACAAAAATAAAGGGTTCTAGATAGGATGATTGGATTTATTGGCACTTCGGTTACAATCTCCCTTAATTACAATTAATACAACACTATCGCTGATTTACACACTTCAGTTCACCGTTGCACACGCATTAGGATTCTCCATCTTCCCTAGTCATCTCCTGGCAACGGATCTCAACACAGAAACTGGAACTTCAAATCAATAAAAGTCTTCTTGCCATTTCTTGTTCAATCCATCTGGAACCCCGGAACTCAATTAAAACATCCTCAGCTGCAAATGAACTCGCGTTATACAGCTGTGCCACAGACAATGCAGAAGCCACAGTTCTATTGTTGTGTGGTGCAGACCACACAGAAAACACAAGTCACATGATTGCCAACCAGCTAGTTCATTTGTGCACTGACTGCTGCCTAACAACGAGCTATGATATTTGCCCACTGAGACACAGTTTCCATTGTTGTGTTGGGACTTTTTTATGGAGCCATTGCCTGGCAATGTGTTAATCAAATACGTTAAAATATCCTTAAGAAGTCATCTCCAAAATTAAACTCATTTATTAAATTAAATACACAAAATCTAGGGGGGGGAACTTGAACAAGCAGAAATTATAGGTATTTGAAAAATATAATTATAGCAAGTGTCATGTAACTTCGAACAAGGCCAAGAGTAACCTTGAATGCGCAGAAGAAAAATTTCAGACAAGGGGGTGGGTTCGAGGGTATGAGAAGTGACAGGCGGCCAGTTCTGTTCGAAGTTACGTGACACTTGCTTTAACCATTAGTCTTGAATATATAGATTTTGAGATATCAGAAAGTATTTCAATTCCATACATCAAAATCCAAGCATCATACAATCAATATTTTGACTTCATGCAGTAAGGATTTCTTCATCTGAGTGCAAAGTGTGCAAAGCATGAAGGCACCCACTCTTCTCCATCTTCAGCTATTTATGAATGCATGTGGCTATACCTCCATACCCTCCACCCACCTTCATGACTAGCTGCATAACTAAGCACAAGGACAATTCACCTGTACCTACACTTTCAGCAGTAAAGCTATAAAGAAAGTGTACCTCATGAGTCCGAGATACATTATGGGACAGCTGCAGTTCAAATCCTGGCTTCTTAATAACTGGCTCAAAAATTGCATGCGGCTGAGTCCTGATTTTTAACTTCAACTCACAATGAACCCACAATTATTTGTCACAATGCAAAGGTTACTAATTCAGTACAGCCAACTGAAATGCTAATCATTTGTTAAATTCAACAAACGTGAAAGAATCACTACAGACACACTGGCCAAGCGGAGTACAACATGTGATTAATTAGAGTTTATACCAAGATAAGAGGGGCAGGGGGAAGGGTAGAGCTATCCCTGTAGTAGGCCATGGAGGCCCATAGGACATCAAGGCTCCCACATTTTCTAGACAATCACAGATGGTGGTAAGGTTGTCATCCTTACGCGTAGGCTGCCCTTTACCCCTCAGGGAAGGCCGCGCCCTAGCTCAAGCGGTTAGTTGCTGGCTTCCCACTGCAGCGGCCTGGGTTCGATCCCGTGTCTGGTCAAGTGGGATTTGTGGTGGATAAAGTGGCGCTGGGGCAGGTTTTCTCCAAGAACTTCGGTTTCACCTGCCAATTTTCATTCCACCAATTGCTCCACAATCACCCTCACCTATCATCTGGGGCTGGTACAATAGGCCAGAAGTGGCTGCAGTACAAGGGACTGAGTCCCACCACACTAGCAATAAAAAAAAATACCCCTCAGGAAAATTCCTTGTACTCATTTCTGTTAGAGGATGAGTTCACCCCAGACCACAGTGCAACTGAAAGGATTAGGTCAATTGAAAAATCCAATAGCCTCTTCAGGAATTGAACCCCGTGACCTTCTGGCTTGTAGCACACTGCCTCAACCAACTATGGTACTGTGTGCCCCACATGTATCAGGTCTTCCAATAAAAAGATTGTAGAGTCATGAAAGCCAGCCAGGGGGTGTAGCAGACAACTGTAACCTCATCAGGAAACAATTCAGACACCAAAGACCAGTATCTACTGTCACTATTTATATAAACTACAACAGAAAAGCAGCATCACATCACATTCTACAGCTTATACATAATCGCAAACATCAAAGCCTGAAATACATGTCTCATCTCCAGCTGAAGAATCAAGAGGAACTCTGAGGGCGGCTGCACACCAACTGCATCAAGACATGAGATAAAAGACCCGGTCTTGCTTCATTCATGATTCATCAGCATGAAGCTGACGTCAGCATCATGACTCAGACCGGAGTGCGGCAGTTTTCATAATCTCATTCATTTCAACTGAGCTCCTTTCTTTGCATCGTGTTGCAGACATTGTGTCTTGACGCATGCCGGTGTGTGGTCTACCTAGGCCTATTCTAAGGGACAATTTTCTCATCCTATGTCATAGCATCCCTCAGCCAGCGTCTGGCTACAAAAAAGTTATCAAGATGCATTACATACCTGGTGATATTTAAGGAAAAATTTGTTTTCTTGTTGGCAGATGAGTTTCTCTGCTTTTGTTTCTGGGAATGAAGACATTTCATAGAAGATAAAGCCGTTCTTCCTAATTTTCTCGGCATTAAATGCAACTGAACGACAATATATAATAAGATTGGACATTTCAGTTGCTATCCTCCATTGCCTTTCCAAATCCTTGTGCTGTGTCTCCTGCAAACAGAGGAGTTGCATGAACATTAGGTCACAGCGTTGACCACACATGTACACTCATAACGTGCAATGTTAGCTTCCATATTTATATATTTATTTCATACTGACACTAGCTCAGATGAGTGAATACTGCATTGGAGATGACGTGGAAGGAAGAGGTCATGGCCTAATTTATGGTATTATCCCAACTGACAAGCGGTGGTTGCTCGGTCAGTATAGTTCACTTGTGGACTCAAGCCACGGAGTTTGTTTTGTTGTTCCCAGCACCTCTCTGGAGGGAACTCAAGTCAGGACAAACGGTCTCCAGCCCAGGAGTGGTACCCACCTGACCACAACATTCAGTCAGCTTTCGAATTAAGAGTCTATAAACTGAAGAGCACTGTCTACTGGTATATCATCCACTGATGTTTTGGAGGAATGTACTGCCTCCATCTTCAGGGTTAAAAAGTATGCTAAGTAAGCAACCAGCAAGAAGCAAGCATCACCCCTGAAGGCAGCACATTCACTTGAAATATTAGGGAGTTTCTGAAGATCTACGTAGTGTCATGTCACAGAATATAGTGCTCTTTGGAGTCGCTGCTGTGAGAACCTCATACCCAGCAGACTACAATTTGTTTCCACATCTACTCAAGATAATGCCATTCCATTTAATTTAATGTATCCTGATTAAAATTCTAATAGCAGAAATTATGGTAAACAAAACACACAAAACTACCAACTAACATATACGTTTGTTTTGGGTTTGAAACAAAATTCTAGGGAAAGTATGTGAGCCTAAAAGATTTTAATTACCTGTAAGCTAAAATGCCTTGAAACTGTTACATGAAGGACAAATCTACATGTCAGATACAAACCAATTTATATTTAACCAAGCTATTATCACAATTAATATTGTAGTTTTTGGGTTACAGTACAGTGTGCTAGCAGTTTTGCAGATGGTTACCAATGTTTTGGAGTGCCTCCCTCTTCAAGGTAGATTTCTGTCCTAGGGATTAGAGGTAACATGTTATGACACTGTATCCAGGACACAACTTACCCTGACGTTAGCATACTGGGCTGTTTCCTTGATGCTGGCCATCCACTCAAGTGCTTGTTCACGAGAAGGAACTGCCACTTCAAATGGGGTGCACATACTGGGGTTCTGAATTCTCAGGATCCACTCTAGCCCAGGATGCCCCCCCACAAACAAGTCTACTACTGCCCCCATCATGTCCAGACTGCCTTTCTGTAAACTTCCCAGAAGCATCGAGTCCGATGACTGAAAGAAAATCATACTTACGGTTAAAACAAGAATGTCCATGTCTCATTATATCTATAGCCCAGATTCAGAACTAAAAACAAAATTGGAAACAATTAAAATGGACTCAAAATAAAAACATCATACAAGGTAATGAAGCTCTAGAAATTGGGAGCCAAAACAGACCACAGCTGTATTCCATAAAAATGAAGAAAGAGTAATAAAAAGAAGGCATAAGATGATGATGATAAAGACCAGGAAGATGAACAGAAAGCATATGAATAAGGAGACGAGGATGAGGAACCAAGATTACATGCTGAATGACACTCGTCTGCCACAGCCCTTGATGTCACAGGACCCCCATCAAAAACATGTGTTTCTGAAGATTTGCTGGAGCACCATACATGCTTCCCCAACTTAATATGAAAAATTTCTAATAAATAATTCTCAAGTTTATTTTATTTTTAAGGACCAAAAAAGTTCTACTTAATCACCTCAATTTTATTTTCTTTATCATGTATGTTATTACATGATGTTTAATTTCATTACAATATTTGTGTGACCTTTCTTTGTTCATGTTTTTGAGCTAAAGGTGTTGCAAATGAGTTGCAATACATGGAATTAATTTTATCTACACTGTGCTGCATGGAAATTCACCACGAGATGTACTCATCTGTCTCAAACGCTAAAATCTAGGAACCAATAAAGCACATAGAGGGATGTTCTTTGTAGCAGAAGATAAAACAATGAAACTGAATTTGCACCTTACATTATCATCACGGTTTTCTTGAGGTTCAATCACCTCCACGTAGTTCGATGGAAACCAATGCTGTTTTTTCCCACCATAATCCCCTCGCCACCAGCCGTCGTCTTGCCTGTTGACATTTGTGATGATGGCGTGCTTACAGAAAGACAGCTCGTCATCACGACATGCCTGATAGTCATACACGGCTTTTACTGTCACCTGAACAGGAAGAAAATATAAAGTGTGCAACAAAACAAGCACCTCTACCTACATAATCATTGGCCTACCTTCCCTGATCCCTGCTTATTGCTGCTAGTTTCTTTACAACCAACACCAGTCCATATATTTGTTTACAAATGAACAGTCAATATCAGTGTTTCACAACTGTGGTACCAGTACCCCTGGCTGGTACCACAGCAGCTTGCCTCGGGGTACCCAAAGTCCTTATTTACACCATCCCAATTTGTGGTTTCATTTTAATTGACTCAGAATAAGCTTCTACATATGACAGATATAAATGTAACTATTGTCCATTTACATTAACATGAGAATTAAAAACGTATTTTATAATTTATTTCTTTATGTGGGGTCATGGGTGCTGGTAAAGTTTGCCCCACCCTGAATTTTTGGAAAAATTTCAAATTGAAAACAAATAAAGAAAACTATTAATACCTTGGAAAAAATTCTAACAGCACGAATTAATGGGGTCCAGAGATCTGTTTAACTCTTTCAGGGGGTACGAAGCACAAAACATTCAGGAACCATTGGTCTTTGTATTCATGCCACGTAATACAAACTTCGGAAACGATCATGATATAAAAATCCCTAGTTAGTTAGTTAGTTAGTTATTGGAGAGGGTGGGTTTCCCCATGCACTTAGACCTGTATTGGTCCATTGTGCTTCCCTCTATGATTTCTACCAGTCTCTATATCCTACCGGTACTGGCACTTACCATCAGTCCCACCCAGCCAGCGAGACTGGCTCTACTAGCTGAGAGGTATCTATAATGCTTCCCCCATCTACCAGAGGTACTAGAGACTGCTGTTGGGCGGGAAACGTCCGTAATTTGGCTCAGTGACCTCCTTTGGAGATATGAGGTTCTTTTACGTGCCGTAAAGCTACGACACGGGACCCACGGCTTAAAGTCCCTCCCGGAGGACTTGTTCCCTGAATTTTTCCGCCCTTAAAAATTCGACGACCTCGCTGGGTATTTGGAAACGCGTACTATGAGTCATGAGGTGGGAACGTTAGCTCTAGATTACGGAGGCCGCTTTAAAAATCCCTAACAAAATATCTAGATATACCTTCCAAGGACAAAGTTGCTTGTGTCCGTGACATTCTCTAAGTCATACGAATCCCCTGGGTAGTGGAAAATGGGCAACAAACCTAGCAAAGCTTCCCAAAAGAAAAGTGCAAACTTCTTCAAGATGCAACAAAGCAAGAACTTGAGTGCTTTCTACTGGGAAGCAAGAAGCAAAATGGGTAAAATGATCCCAAATGCAGTCACTGGAAACCAACCAACCTTCAAGTAGCTGGACGCGAAGTTACATTTGTGACAAAATTAAGAGCGGAAAGAACAAACGGAAGGCATGTCATTCCTTATGTCAATGTTTCTAAAACTGTGGATCATGACCTACTGTCAAGCTAGTCATAAAGTCTACAAGAATTACTTAAAATATAGTGGAGTCCAAGCACAACTTTAGCATGTCAGTGAGTCTGTAAGATTTAATATATGTGATTTTGGGAACTGTAGTTACAGTATACGGTAGGTGCCAGGTGGCTGTAAGCTATTTAGGCTCCTGCTGTCACCGTATAGCCTGACAGGGACCTGCAACAGGGTGCAGAACTGCATTTCCCACATTGACCAGTAAAGATGGAGGTGGTGGTTATGTAAATATATATATTCTTTTTGGGGTGTCAGAGTATTACAAAGCTTCGGACAACTTGCCTTACATCTTAATGTTATCCACTGGAAATTTGAGATTTTCACATCACTTTGCTTTATGGTATCATAAAGAGTACATATATGAGGGGGGAGGTAATACTATCCTTGTAATGGACCAAGAAGGCCCACAGGGTTGTGAGATGTTTAGGCTCCCACATTTTCTAGACAATTGGCTCACAGATGGTAACAAGGTTGTCAGCCTTTTGTGCCGGTCACCCTTTACCACCAGGAAGCTTCCTGATACTCATTTCTGCTAGAGGCTGAGTCGACCCCAGGGCCATAGTGTGGCTGGAAGGATTAGATCAATTGAAAAATCCAATGTCTTCATCAGGAATCAAACCCGTGACCTTCTGGACTGTAGCACAGTGCCTCAACTGACTACACTACTGCATGCCCCATAGAATTTATGTATAAGATACACAGCACTGAATTTTTCTACATCACTTTTGGTATGGTTGGTATTTGTTTGTTTTCCTGCATTGTACATTATTTACTGTGTAAAATCTAAAATCAAATACTGTAACTTATATTAATTATAACCAAAAATTCTTGGTAATGATACATGTTTTCACAGAGGATTGTCTTTGCTTGGCTACAGAGAAGTGAGTCAAGAAAGGAGATTGCAGGAAACATGACATCAATAAATAAGATAACATGGACAATAAAGCAACAGATATGACGGTGATCTGTAACTCATGGTACACTGTCTTCTAGAGCAAGCTTTGTCAAAAGACTGCAAAGACTTACATTTATGCAAGTAGCTACCTGCTAGTGACAAACCAACCAACCTACCCAACCCAATCCTTGAAGAACAGTCCTTCTTGAGAAACTAATCATTGTTCAGCAAGTCATGAAATTCCCAGCATTTTATAGAACTGCAGGGAGCACTACCATGTTCACCACAGCCTGCCAATGGACCCAATCCTGAACCAGATGAATCCAGTTCACATCCTTATGCCATTTAAATTTAAGATACATTTTAACATGACTCTCCTATCTGCACCTACACTTCCTCAAGTGGTCTCCTTCTTTCAGTTTTCCAGACTATACAAAATCTACATAATGTAATATTTCAGTTTTCAGTTTTGAACATATGAACCTGAGGACACATAATACGAGTATATTGAATCAAAATAAAGTTGGTACTGTCTGTGTTTCTTCTGTTCTTAATTTCATTCTGAATCTCTTTCTTACTTGTTTCTATCATTTCCTTATACATTAAAAGGGCCGCGCTACAGCTCAAGCGGTTAGTTGCTCGCTTCCCACCGCGGCGGCCCGGGTTCGATCCCGGGTCTAGTCAACCTCGAGTACTTCAGTTTCCCCTGCCAATCTTCATTCCACCAAATCCTCCATCATCATAATCACCCAGAGCAGGCTATAATAGGCCAATCAGTGGCCACCATGCTGAGTGGACCCAGTTGGACTCCACCCCCCACAAGCGAATTAAAAAAATTTAATTATACATTAAAATCATCACAATTTCATGAACTTAGTGATAATGAACAAATATTATTATTATTATGATCTGAGGTGATAAGTGATGAATCGAAAATGGAATTTAAAGATGGCTACTGCTCAAAGTACAGCTGTTTTCTTGTGGGCTATTTAATGATGTTTTTAGTGTCAAGACTGTACAGCATTTAATGGAAGAATGACTGGTGAATTATGAACCAGAAAGAATCAGTCATATCCTAATGAAGGTACTACCCTGGAATTTGCATGGAGGGACTATGAAAACCCTCAGTCAGGACAGCCTGTGTCTTAGCTGGGATTCAAACTGAGAGCCTTTAAAATACAAGTCTATTGTGTTACCTCTAGACCAAGTTATTCAGTCACAGCCATTGGAGAGTTCTGTATATACTGAATGCTCCACTGAAGATGAACAAAGCAATGCATTGCTAGCACATCTGCTGTTCAAAGCTGAACAGCTGCTACATACGAAGCATTTGCGGTGACTTGAAGCACAGCTGCTTTCCCATGCTTCAGACCAAACCTTCTCTGTATCTTACCTTTGGTACAATGCTGTTTGGATCCATGTATCCTGGGGTACCATATATAACACCATCATCAGTATCTCCCATCTTCTGGAAAACAACAAAAAATAATCAATCAACAGTGTTCACAATAATTAATTAAAAAAAAGGGGGGGACGATGTGGATAGCTTCACGTTGGTGGTTATGATGCCTGTAGATATTTATTTATTTACTTATTTATCTGTAGTCTACTGAGTCATTAACTCAACCTATATAGCACTGAGAGACTGGCTAGTCATAGATAATTAATTAAAACGGATGTGAAAGTAACTGGTCACGGCACTGAATGTCAGAGAATGAAGTTCTTTAATTTTATTACATGGGAATTACAATTATAAAGTTTACCCTGTTGTTTGGTAAGGGCAGGAAACTTGATCTCTCACACAAAAGGAAGGAGACAATGAGGATATGTAAATAGAAGGACGAGATGAGAAGAGAAACAACATCAAGCAAGCTGGCTCAAGTGGTGCTGCTTCTTATTTGTATTTGGTAGGTGCCTGGTTCGAGTCTTGGCCAAGATACTATCATGACTGAGGTCTTTTTATAGTTTTCCTCAGACCCTCCAGGTAAATGCTGGTACAGTACCTCAAATTAGACGACAACTACTTCATCACACATCCTTTCAAATTCAATATTCATTCAACAATCTAACATCTGAAGCTATATATTCTGAGCTAATAACTGCATCATTAAAGAAACCATAAATGAATGGCATGGACAGAAACCACGGCCCATCTCTTGCACTGAATGTAAATCAGACGCAATGTCGCGCAGCTAAGATCAGACAAGATCACACTGTTATGAACGTAAATCACTCACCGGACTTATTCCTCTGATGAGATCTTCATTCACAGGATACCAGAGCTTTATTTTGCGATAGAGAGGATGATGCTTGTAGTAGCTGACTAGTTCCACAAGGCTCTCAAACTGAACTGAACCAATTGTGTAGAGGCGACCCTCTTGCTTTATTCTACAGTGTTTGATTTTCTTTTCTGCCCTGAAAATCAATAACAGGATTCGGATTTGATAACTCAATTTATTGCATAATTCCACATAACATAACCACAATTTGTTATTACATTTTCAAGATTGTTGTATCTATGACACACAATTATAACACTCTCAAGGTTAACACATCAACTACTGAACTGCCTTGAATGACATCTTCCTGACGAAACCTCGAATCCTCAAGTTTACGACTGCAGAACTGAACTGAACTGCTTCTCATATGGGAACAGCATGGACCACATAGGAAACCCAGTTCTACTGTTGCATAAGGAAGACCCCACAGAAAACAAGTGACACGATTCCTAGCCAGCGTCTCCATTAGTGCGGTTGCCTAGCAAAGTGCAATAACATTCCTTCCCGAGACACATCTTCCATTGTTGCCTTGTGTGTATTCGGTTGCAGGCTGTTCACTGGTCTGTTACCTAGCAACACTCTGGCCACCCATGTTATATTATACTTCACTTATCTTCATTGAGGGTCATAGCTGTGACAAGTCAATCCGGGGCAGTGTCGTGGTGCTTTTCTGAGGGCAAGGACACTTGAACTTATTTTAAAAACGTCAATGTGAAACATAAAGTTCTTACAGAACACTGTTTAATTTCCAGCCTCTGTGATGGAAGCATTGGCCCCTTTAAGTATGTTGAGCTCATGATTTGTTGGTCATTCAATTCTGCACTTACAAGTGTAAAGCTATCATTATGTAATGAGAACGGTATCATATAATAACGTATACACTGCAGTGAAATGAAAACATATCAGACCATCTGAATGGACACTGGTAACTACAATTGCTCCAGGAAGGTAAAGAGTCTGCAGCCAAATGTTTTGAAGACAGTGATGTCCTACGTGGCTGCATTGTTTGATCTGAGAATTTATTCAAAACTGACGCCATCATTTCTTGCCAAACACCACCCGATGATGATGATGATAATCGGCAAAATAGTCCTTTTTTGAGTCAAAGCCTTCTTTAAAAGATTATGCCAGACTGCATCCAGTTTTCATTTCTTTAGATTTTGCACCAATAAGTGCAGTGCATCCAACCACCAACCTGGAGGACCAGGTCCTTGTGTTTATGTCCCACAGTTTGCCGCCTTCTATGACTCACAGGGCCATTGTGGAGGTATTCTAACCCGGCTTCACACAGGGAAATGTTCACTGTTGATATTAAACAAATACCATCACTAGTGGCCTCATAGATATTTACTACTGTGTTACCTGAAGGAGATGGCATATGAGTACACATCATTTCCACTAGGTCTGACTAGAAAAGCACCGTCTGAAGGAACTCTCCTCAACAGTTCTTCAGCTTCAGCACGAGTGATATTTTGATGATACCACTCCTTGCCCTCGTGTTTGTTCGGCTGAGGCACCGGTTCTTGCAACGTGATTAGGAATTCCTGAAAGCGCATTACATATGTTATATTTTAGCGTCCTGTTACACTGATTCATGTCCATGGTTTATGCTAACCGTCTTACAGTGTATACACTTTTCACCTTATTCTTCACTTCCACACTACATGTTTCAGCACTAATGTGCCATCCTCAGGTGTCTTCATGCACGTTATACTATTGTACTGCATGCCATGATGTCTTCAGTCTAAAATGACTAAAATCTGTATTCGTCATATATGCCGATGAATTCTAAATAATAAAACTTTTCAGGATTCATCCTACGTCGCACTCAAACACGCGAATTACGCCAATCCTCTTTTATGTGAGCATTCTTCCTACATACATTTGTGTATCGTGTTCTGTGTTGTGTTTTGCTCCTGTTACTGCATGCGTTGTACTGCTGGATCTGTGTGTGTGTGTGTGTGTGTGTGCTGTCTTCATTTTTGTTGTGCTGAAACATGTAGTGTGGAAGTGAAGAATAAGGTGAAAAAGTGTATACACTGTAAGACGGTTAGCATAAACCATGGGCGGATTACATGCTGGTTTAATATGCCATCTAGACCACTACTCTAAATGTTTACTTAGTTAGTTATTAGAGAGGGTGGGTTTCCCCATGCACTTAGACCTATAGTGGTCCATTGTGCTTCCCTCTATGATTTCTACCAGTCTCTATATCCTACCGGTACTGGTGCTTACCATCAGTCCCGCCCATTCAGCGAGACCGGCTCTACTGGCTGAGAAGTATGTATAATGCTTCCCCCCATCTACCGGAGGTATTAGTGACTGCTGTTGGGCGGCAAAGGTCCACAATTTTGGCTCAGTGACCTCCTTTGGAGGTATGAGGTTCTTTTACGTGCCGTAAAGCTACGACACGGGACCCACGGCTTAAAGTCCCTCCCGGAGAACTTGTTCCCTGAATTTTTCCGCCCTTAAAAATTCGACAACCTCCGCCAGGTATTTGAACCCACGTACTACAAGTCATGAGGTGGGAATGTTACCTCTAGACTACGGAGGCCGCTTAAATGTTTACTTAACTGGTACACCCTTTCTAATGCAGGTTTGTGCAACAAAGTTTTGATTATCATACACCACTGTATAATTAACATCATCATATAAATCATGGCCCTTCTATTTTCACTGTTAAATTATGAAATAACTGCTCGTTTATTTCACACACTGCATTTTTAGGTATAAAAGACAACAACAAAAACATATAAAACTCAGAAATGGAGAGCAACAGGATAGACAAATGGAGGGACCGAGAACACAGGTTGTTAAACACAGTTCAGTGAGACATGCTGTTTGTTATAAAGCAATGGCATCTGCTCACGAGTACATACTAACCTGCAGCACAAGATACCTACCAGCAACCTTGCTAACATGAACTGATATACCTACAAGACAACCAATATGTACATCAAAAAACAAAACTTTTAGTGGTGAATCTAAGAAGAATAATGAAGTGCTGCCATGAACATTTATGGCACTCTGTACCAAGTGACTTGTACATCTGCTAATACTGTGTACCAGTCTTATAACTAATTAATTCTTAATCATTTTATACATCGGCACAACGACACAATGAACCCATTAGGCTAAATTATATATATATGGCCCGTTGTGGTAGCCAAGCGGTCTAAGGCATGCATTGTCTTTGTTCACTCAAGAGGCCAGGATCATGAGCTTGAATCCCACTCAGGGCATGAATGTTTAGTGTTTGAATGTGTGTGGGTTTTTCTGTGTTTGTGTACAGGTAGAGGCCTTGCGAAGAGCTGATCACCTGCCCATGGAGTCCTACCAAATGTCTAAGATCTTCATTGCATGGTGTTTAATTAAACACAAGGAAATTTCACCTTTATCTTTTAGCTTTTATGGTTTGATGCTCACACCCTAAATCCCACCACACATTTAGGAACACAAATAATATTTACATGATGAAAGACTACATATGAACTTCACTAACAGATCTCAATCTTTCTGCAATCAAGGCTCCCCTGAGCCGGCAATAAAAAAGTGCAAGCCACAGCACCTTCTGAGCAGCAGCTGGTTTGGCTTTGGACACCTGGGGGAGAGGGAGGGGGGTGGCAATGATTTTTGTAAAAGGTCCAAAACAGACGTTAAATTTATAAGCCCCCAAAAATAACAACAACAACAAAAAAGCATACTTTTTTCAATTTTATTTTTATTAATTCAAACTGACTGTAAACTAAACCAAATAAAAGTGTGCAGGAGACCGAGACTCACATGCAGGTGTGTGACAGCTGCTACATGACAATGCGAGCACAGCTTAGAGGCAACATTGCCTGTAACCATCAATTTAAATGAGATAGAAGCTTTTGATCTTCATGCTCCATTCTCAAGAAATTATCCATATTAAATAATATTAAAACAAATTATTGTAATGGTACTTTCTGATCCTATTTATAAACACCACAAACCTAATCTGGATTGAAACCTGAAGTGGGGAATCACAAACATGCTGACAAGCCTATTTTGGATATGGTGATTTTTCACTGCATGACAGTATCATAGGAATGATGGAATTATAGTATATATACCTGGCTTCGAAGTGAATGACTGCGATAGTGGGTGATCAAACTATATAAACTATCAAAACAGTTAGAATCAATCAGATAGTACTTCGTCTGCCCCTTGTCTTGCTTCGATCTGATGTGACAGTGGTTAACCTTTCCTTGGCGCCTGAAAGCAGATGAAATAAGTGTTACCAACACTGTAAATTAAGAACAATAATACAAAGACATTCAAGATGCTCTTGTGTGCATAACAGGGTAAATGCAATTAAAATTAACAAGTTTCAGCTTACATTGGAATAAAAGAAAAATATATACAGAGCTCTTACTGAGGAACCTTACGGCAGGAAACTACTTGTGATATTTGACACACGCAATTTTGTAATATATTTATTGATGATATCAGTAAGTCAGACTGAATGACTGCAATATTCTGAACAATGAATTAGAAAGAACACGCAAGTTGTTATAATTTAACATACTCTCAAAGCATTTGTCTGGAGGGACTAAGGAAAACAATGGAAAATCCCAGCCATGATAGTAGGTGTCCCAGGTGGAATTTGAACCAGGAATGTTGAAAATGTTGAAAAAATTCGGGAACTCATCCATGAAATTTTGAACATGCACCACACTGCCATGAAGTTTGTTTCCCAACTCTTCACAAATGATCTAAAGCAGAGGTGCGTAAACATGACTCTTGAGCTACAAGAGAAGGCTAACGAGGACCAAACTTTTATCTCTATGATCATAACAGGTTACGAAAGTTGGATTTTCAGTTATGATCCAGAAACAAAGCAACAATCGTCGCAGTGGAAGAGCCCACAGTCACCAAGAGCAAAAAGGTGTGGCAGGTCCAGAGTTCAACAAAGAGCAGGCTCATTATTTTTCTCGACATGAAGGGGAGTGTTCACCATGAATTTGTTCCTCCTAACATTATGGTCAACTCCGACTTTTACTGTGACATTCTGAGATGCTTGAGAGAAAACATGTGATGAAAAAGACCAGAAATTTGGAACAACCACAACTGGATCCATCATGACAATGCGCCCGCCCACACGTTCCTGAAAACCACATAGTTTGTTACAACATGGTTATCATTCGCCAACCTCCATGCTCGTCAGACTTAGCCTCTGTGATTTTGCTTTGTTCCCCAAATTGAAAATGAAACTTTTCAAACAGTGTCTGACATCAAAAGGGAATCGCAAGAAATACTCAACAGCGTTAAGGAAAATGACTTCCACGGTGCTTTTGAAGTGTGGTAGAAACAATGGGATCACTGTATATGTTACCAAGGAGACTATTTTGAAGGGGATGGCAGCCAAAATTGAGCAAGTTAAAACAGCATTTCTCTTGTAACCTAGTGTGGGAACTTTCTGATAGCACCTCGTATACCATCAAACAGACTTTACAAATTGGCACGATTAACAAAGACTATATATATATAACAGCTGAAAGGCACAGCATTTCTTTTGTAACCTAGTGTGGGAACTTTCCAATAGCACCTTGTATACCATCGAGCAGACTTTACAAACTGGCACAATTAACAAAGACTGTATAACAGCTGAAGGGTACAGTCAACAGGGTTGTAATTATAGGACCATTTCCTTCCAAATGCTTTGAAATTCATCATTCATCTAGCATCCTACCAGTTTATGCTGCATAGTACTGACACTGAGAATGTTGTAAACTAATCCATGTAAGAAAAAGTGGCAAGATAAGAATAATTCCTTCTGCCCTGAAGATGGAGGTAGCAGGTTCCTCTGCAATGATGGTATCTATCAAATTACACAGCACCACACTCCAGAAGACTGTAAGAAAAGAACAAAATAGTTGAATGGATTTCACCCACCAGAATGAAAGTGTATAATCTCCAACAAACGTTTCACTATCTCGCACCAGAAATGTGCCATCTCCAAGGGTTGAGTATGCCCTGAGTAAATTTTCTGCTTCTGCTCTTCCTCCAGGGAGTTTCCCATGGAACCACTTCTCACTAAAGTGAAGCTCATCATTTGGCACACCCTGTAAAAATTATGTCATTAAATGTCATGTGTGGATGCACAAACTTCTGAGCTGGTAGCAACACCAGCACCACTTAATACAGGGTCCTGATATAATGTATAGTAACAGATCTTTGAAAAACATGCAAGTTTTTCTTTTTTCAGTGAGAGGGGGCTAGAATATAAGAAATGAAAATGATAACTGGGTAAATGCCGTCACGTGTTAGTGACTAGACATGGGGTTTGGACTGATAATTGGATTTATTGAATGATTAATATCTTGTAACAGATCACTATAACTACAGCATACATAAAGGCTTCTGTTTGTTATTCTGTCATTGCTAGGTAGCGGCTGCTAACAGTGCAACCCAAGACTGCCTGGGCTGATGTTTGGTTATTACTAGGGTCCAGATTTTTTGAAAATGCATATGAGCATATGCAAATGCATATTTTGAGGGTTTTTGGTCATTAGTGCATATTCTAAACATAAGAGCAAATTTCTGCATATATGTTTGGAATTAAGGATAATTTCAATGTTCTCTAATAAAATCGGTTTTGCCCGTGTTTTGGACATCCCTTGCCAGTTGCTATTCTCAACTCTCTGAGTAACGGCACTTTTACCACTTACAATACAAGCAGGTAGCTTGGCTATTTCGAAAGGGAGGGGGTGGGATTTTCCTGCATTTCTTTCACCACCACAGCAGACAGTAGCATCAGAGGGTTGGTCTCAAGAGAAGTCTCTTCAGTTAATGTGTTACTCTTTACTTTAATAGTCTGCATCAAAGAAGTGTTCGTATACTGAAAATGCCTAAAGAAAAGTGAAGCAGTAGATATTTAAAAATTCGGTGGGTGTCGGGTAATAGTGACTATTCAACAGATGGTCCATGAAGCAAAAGTGGTGTTTGGAAGTCATACTGTTTATCAAGATGTGAATTTTATCCATGCACATTTTTCTACAGTTTCAAAAGCCACTGAGAGCTTAGAATCTTGTGGTGCACTACTTCAGAACTCACTTCCAACTCTTTCAGAAAACAACTTGTTCACTGAATTCCGCTCCAGGCAAAATTGGAGAGAAGATTAAATTCACATTAGAAAAGGTGTTGAAATCGAACAAAAGACTAAAAAAGATTCAGTCAATTAGTCAGTCCTTGAGTGTAATTAGGGTATCTTTGCCAGATGAATGTTCCAGACCTTCAGCGCCAGTGTATAAATACTGTCCAATCATGTCAGTTGATGTAGAAAGATCATTCTCAGCCTATAAACTCATTTTGAAGAACAATAGACACAGTTTGTCTCCAGAAAACACTGAAAGACTTCTAGTTGCCTATTGTGATGCTACTTTCTGCGTTGAATGAGACATGTAAATAGGCGAGTCTGAATGAAGTGATCTGTTTCTTAAGTGCATATTGTTTTATTTTTGGTACATATTTTCCCGCTTTTTAGCGCATAAAGATCTGGGCCCTAGTCATTACTATATAGCCTTGGCATGGACAGAATCGAAAACCATTGCTTCCAACAGATCCTCTATCTGTTGCATGTTTATATGTTGGCGTGCAAATATGTTTACTGTTCCACTATTCTGGCTTTAAGCTGTCATGTCACAATATTTTCTTCAGGTTTCAATTTAATGGTGATAACCAGGGCCTGGATATTGATGATATGTTATCTTTTTCTCCTTGTATCCTATGCGATGCTCTTAAATGTATAAATCTCGGATATGAGCTGCTGGTTACAGAAATGTAAATTTTATAGGTAATTTTTTGACATTATTAGGTTTAAGGTCATTTTATACATCATTTTTTAAATATTTTCAGGTCATCAAAATCCGAGCCCTGCATATTACATTTTTGGGTCATATTTTATGTAATTTTTCTGGATTTTTCGGTCATTTTTTAAATATTTTCAGGTCATCAAAATCCGGGCCCTGGTGATAACTAATAAACCAGTGAACCTAGACACATGACATGAAGTACCCAGATAGATTACAAACATATCCATACATTACACCGAAATACTCTAAGATAACAACTACAAACCTGTCAAAAGTACAAACATTTCAGGTTGTATCCAATACATTCAATGCAGAGAGAAACTGTACTCAATAAGCACTTTACAAAACTAAATTAAACAATAACAATAATTCTGACATGCAGAATTGGGGCATGCGGTAGCGTAGTTGGTTGAGGCACTATGCTACAAGCCAGAAGGATGTGGGTTTCAGAGGAAGCCACTGAATTTTTCACTTGACATAACCCTTCCAGCCGCACTATGACCCTGGGGACGACTCAGCCTCTGACAGAGATGAGTACAAGGAATCTTCCTGGGGGTAAAGGACAACCTACCAGCTTGTAAGGCTGATAACCTCACCACCATCTGTCAACCGTCTAGAAAAATGTGGGAGCTTCGACGCCTCACAAGCCTATGGGCCTCCACAGCCAGTTACAGGGATAGCTTTTACAGACATGCAAAATGAAGTGTTTATGCAACAGGAAAGTATGTTTTATGAGTTCTCCTCAGAACTCCTTATTACCTCCTTTGCTCTATGAAAGCCCACTTCCTGCTCCTCCTCCTCATCTCCGTCTGCCTCCTGCTCGTTCTGAAAGCTGTCTGTGTAGAACAGTTTATGCTGCGTAAGAACAAAGAAGTGGGGGTTCCACTCCTTGTCCACTGGATCTTCAAGATACAGAATTCCATTCTTCACTGTGTTTCTAAGATCCATTTCCTTACCTATAAATTCAAGGAAGTATCTGACACAAAGGCAATCACAGTAGCCAAGCAGTCTAAGGCATGAACTGTCTTCGTTCACTTGGACGCTGGAATCGGGGGTTCGAACCCCACTCAGGGCATGGATGTTTGGTGTGTGTATGTGTTTATTCTGTGTTTAGGTAGAGGCCTTGCGACAAGCTGATCACCTGTCCAAGGAGTCTTACCGTCTGTAAAATGATCATGACACTGAAAGAAGAGGCCAGGACCCACGGGGGCTGTAGCGCCAGTGAAGAAGAATCTGATGCAAAAGGGACGGAATACGTAGAAAAAGAATGACAGTAGAAAGGAACAAGTAGTGTTCTTCAAAATGAAACGTACAACAATGTGCCACACTTGTAGTTATTACTTTGAAACAGACGTAAATTGGAATAAGGAATAATTTACAAGCACTGTATTATCCACAGAATGGTCAAAACAATTCAGGAGTTTGCTCCAGAGAAGAAATTATGATTTGGCATATCATTAACTGGTGCACATGTGCTTAAACCCCCTTCATCATGTCAGAAGTGTTATACTTCACTGTTGCCTTGCAGTCCAGGAACATAAGAATGAGAATGCCCAATGTGTCCCAAAATGCCATCAATTAAGAAGGAAAAATTGACAGAGATATCAATGAAAAATTCAAACTTGTTCTAAAGTTCATCAAATTATTAATGGAATACTATCAAACTGACAGATCCTAAGACAATATAAAAGAGCAGTCTATACTGATACCAACATAGGAGCACTCAAAAATGGGCTCTTATAAGGACAAAGAACAAGCACAACCCAAGCAATAGTTATGAAATTTCTGATAAGTATTGAGGGAAAAGCAAGAAGGGATATACAATTTCTATAGAAGAAATTGGAATTCAAGATTTGTTAACAGAGTTAGAAGGGAAAATGACTGCAATATTTTGGCCACATTAAAAGATGGGCTCGAGCAAGGACACTGAGGGAGACTTTAGAACTGAAATTTGTATGAAAAAGACCTACAAGTCAATCCTGAACAAGAGAGTGTCAGCCAGGCATCAAGAGACAGCAAGGACAGTGAAGAAAGCTGGCACAAAATCGAAAAGGGAAGACTGTGGGAAGAAAGGCATTTCACCGATTGATGCACATAAAATGGAAACAATGCTGTAAGTAATTTAGTTATTTAAATATCAGAATTGGCACACACTATGATCTTCCAGGATTAACTTAATAGTTTCTAACTGAGCTTAGCACAAAGCCTGTTACCATACCATCTGCATTCTTCACAAAGAAAGAGGCTTCGTCTTCCCCTTCAGGCAGCTTCTTATGTTTCAGAATAATTTTTCTCCGTAGCTGATGAGGTGACGGCAGGTGTGTCTCATTTCTCTCAATAGGGTGCACTACTAATAATTCTCCAAATACTTCTTGCATAGCTGTTGCCATTTTTCTTTGCTGAGGTAAAGAACAGTTGTCTTCAATGGACAGAATTACTGGGAACCTGGGAACGCAAAACACGGGATTGGACATGCATGTCAGACAGAGTACAGAAGAAAAGCAAACCAAATTTCGGTCTTGCTTCTAGTTTCAAGTTTGCTGGTAATGAGAAACGTAAAAATAAAGTACAGGCATATATATATATATAAAATAAATTGTAATATATGAATCCAACTCACTCTGAGGTAACAAAGGCATGTTCTTTTATTGTTTTAATAACATCCAAGAACTTTATTTTTGTGGTAAGTGTGTGTCCATGGTATATGAAAGGCATGCCATCTGGACCATCCCAGCAATCAAGTTCTATACAGCGACAACCCTGCCGCAAACACCGCACGTAGGCTTCAACTGAAGACTCACTGGAAAACTGGTCTCCAGTAAGATAGCTGCAACAGTAACAAGGAACATCAACTTCAGTTCAATGTCATCAAGCAAGAAACCTATTATGAAGAGTTCTGTCTCCTGGGATATGATGCCATGTAGTCTGGCGAACGTCAACCGACATTTTGGAGGAACACGTCACCTCGTATTTAGGGTGAAGTGCAAGCCAAGCAAGAAACCGACATGAAGCAGGGTTTCTTCCTGCTTCATGCTGGTTTAGTCTTCAACCCTCAAGATCAAGGATACATGTTTCTCCAAAACAGTGGCTGACTTTAACCAGACTAAACGGCATTATATCCCAGAAGACAGAACTCTTCTATGTAGTTCTTATTTTTATATATTATTATAAATAACAATATAATTTGTGACTGTTATTATAACAATATTGGAGCTGGGATAGTGTAGTTGGTATAAAGAATGGCTATGGACTGGATGACCCAGGGGTCGAAGTTCGAGTCCTGGTAGGGTCATGAATTTTCTGTTATCCATGTCTTCCAGACCGGCTCTGGGGCACACCCAACCTCCTATCCAGGAGGTACCAGGGAATCTTTCCCAGGGTAAAGCGGCCAGAGCATGAAGCTGACCATGCACCTCCAGCTAATGCTGAGGTCAAGAAAGTGTGCATCGTTGCTGGCTTCCCACTGCGGTGGCCCGGGTTCAATCCCGGGTCTGGTCAAGTGGGATTTGTGGTGGATAAAGTGGCGCTGGGGCTGGTTTTCTCCGAGTACTTTGGTGTACCCTGCCCATCTTCATTCCTCCAAATTCTCCATCATCATAATCACCTGGGGCAGGCTACAATAGGCCAATCAGTGGCTGCCGTGCTGAGCGGCCCCAGCTGGACTCAACCCCCCACTAAGCAAAAAATGTCACAGAAAGCTGGAATTCAGACAGGAAGATTCATAGAGAAATACATTTAACTTCCATATTTTAAAAAATCACCAAAATAACGACTTGGAAAGAAAGAATACAGATCACATTTATCAAATGTCAGACAAAATAAAGACAAACTGCAATCGATTTTATGTTATAACATAATGAATGTTCTGTTTCTGTAGAGCCAAAGTTTCATCTCTAGCATTCACAGCTAAGCAACGGACCTCTCTACTAGGCCAACTCAATCCTTAAACATATCCACAAGCTAATCTTCTGCAACCCATCTTAGTATTGAATCATCAGATAGCAGAAAATAGAAATCTTCTGGGATGCGATGCCATGCAGTCTGGTAGAAGTTTACCAGTGCTTTGGAGGAACATACTGCATTTATCTTTTGGGATACTTCTCGATCTTGAAGATGGAGGCAGCGTGTTCCTCTGAAATGTCAGTAAACGTCTAGTAGACCACATAACATCACATCCCTGATGATGGAATTCTTCATAGCCTGTGAAATGAGAACCTCAAATCTCCCATTTTAATGTTACTCTTCCAGCTATATCTAGGTCTAGTAAGTGGTCTTTCCTTTTTTCCATACTCCACATATTCCTCAAGTTTAACCAGACATGTAAAATTAATACTCTGCACGCACGTGTTGTGTGATGAAGCAATCCAGTAGTGCGACATTGGCCTCGTCATGTCCTGGTAAACCTGATCATACCGCTGGTCCCAAATGTCGTTTTGTTTTGAGAACAGGAAATCCATAAACTACATCAGAAAAACAAATCATTCATGAGAATAACAGATATATACTTTGCCAATGATGCACACATGTCTCACTTACGGCATACTTTCTACCAGCTGCATGACTACCCATCTTTTCAGCACACAGAATAACTTTTCTTCTGAATGTCGCTTCATATGTAAAACACTTTTCCATGTGTAAAAAATAACAGGAAACTGAATACACCTGATTGATAAGAATGTCAGGCAATGACTGAACTGAAAGTTGGGAATTGATTCACAGTTAAAGGTGGGGGAGGGGGGGATAATGTGACTTGATGACTCACTCTGAACGTATTTACGTTACATTCTTTCCAGGCTGCCCCATGGAAAGTTTGCAAACTGGTGAATAATTCCTTGAATTTAAGACGTACCTCAATTTTTCAATATGAAAAAGCGTGAAAAATGTGCATCTTATTTTTGAACTAATATGGTAGTTATCATTTTAATTGGTTAAGACCAAATTACATACAAATAATAATATTATGACTCGTGGCCTAAAAGCCGAAGTATCGGAGTTGGAGCCAGGTGTCCACTGTTAGCCAACGGTTGGGCGAATGTATTCCCAGGCACTACAAGAATAGGCACCCACTGGTTCACTATTTCACTGTTGAAAGCTGATAACCACAGCAATGAACTGTAGGTTGCACAGAAACAAATTCTTAAAAGAGAAATACGCAAAGTGATATCCTTCGGGGCGGTGTCTGCTATCACGGCCGCCTAACATTTATAACCAGAATTCGAGAGAATACAGAAGCAGAATATGACAGAACACAGAAGAAGAATGAGAAGTGACTCGGCAGTGAATCAATGTGCTTTTGATAACGAAGCAGAGCTACACAGTGAGGGATTCGTTAACCAGAGGGAGTTGAGTGTGTGAACTGTTATAAACCGAGTGTAATTGTGATAGAGACATCAAATAAATCCAGTCATCAAATCTAGAACCCACAGACCTCCGTTTTCGTGCAGTTACAATGCATTCTCTACAATGTGTACAGGAAAGCAAAAATCAATAAAAGGCATTGGTATTGATGTTTATCACCCAGAAATGGGAGACTTGATCTTCCACTACTACAGCACAGAGGTGTTGGGTTTTAACTTGTTGACAAGGGATTTATACCATACACAATGGTGGGATGTTATGATTGCTGAAGCCATCCGTGGATGATAAAGATTAATGTTTCAATAATGTGCGGCATGCAGTAGCATAGTTGGTTGAGGCATTATGTTACAAACCTGAAGGTCCCGGGTTCTAGTCCTGACAAGGTGGATTTTTTTCAATTGACCTAATCCTTCCAGCCACATTATGGCCCTGGGGTTGTCTCAGCCTCTAACAGAAATGAGTACCAGTAATCTTCCTAGGGGGTAAAGAGTGGCTGGGGTGTAAGGCCAACAACTTTACTGCCATCTATGAGCCAACTGTCTAGAGAAAATGTGGGAGCCTCAACGCTTCACAATCCTATAGGCCTTCACATCCTGTTACAGGGATAGCTTTACCTTTTTTTTTTACCTTTATTTGAATAATGTCCTGGGACATACTGAATTCTTCCATGGGATCCATCCAGCCAAAAGGCCATAGTTTACCATTTTTCCTGCAGAAGGTTTAAACACTACTGGAAATTTTTAATTAGTTTGATTATTTTAATTCCAATTTATTGCCTGCCTTCAAACTTCTGTACTTGCTTTGTGTCCCAAATTTTATAAATTCTGACCTATACATGTTGCTTAAATAATAACACATCTGTACCTCAATGATGGTGAAGAACGGCTCCTGCACATTCCGCTGGGAATCCTGCAGATAATCCCTCATGAAGCGCGACACTTCTCGCTCATCATTGCCCATGGGATCTCCTTGCTCCTGGATCAGGAAGCTTTGGAATTCTTGCAATGTTATTATTTTACCGTTCTCGGAGTACGTAGTATACACGTCAATACACTCCCGAAACATCTACAAAATATGATAACATAATTCAGTTAGTCTCTACATCTATATAAAGGCATATCCAATATTTATTAAGCAAAACGCTGTGTGAAACTCTTTATTTTCACCCAGTAATAATAAGAACAATCCTTGATAGTAACCGAATCAATTTTCATACAGTTGAATTACTGGCATAAAAGTCTCTCAATAATAATACAAAACAGTAAATAAAACGTTTACTAATTACAAGTCATTGTTTACATTCCATATAGAATATAATACTTTGTAAAATGAGGCACCAACTAAATAATTAACATTAATATTACTACACCTACATCACGAGCCTCCAATAGCAATTTTTATACAAAAAATATAGAATACTCTAATTTGTCCATGGGAATGACACAAAATCACAAAAACCAGCGACTGACTCGATGATGTAAAGCATCAATCGAAGAATTTTATTCTTGTTTTATACTATAACTTTTATTTTATATAATCAAATTTATTGTATTTTTATGTCAAGTATTTTAATATAATTAATATTACTGTATCCAATTTTATTAGTACTGCAGTTCAGTGGTGTATATGTGTTAACCACGTATTTGCCTGATGATGACTATTAATAGCCGAAACATGTAGCAGAGCCAAAACCAGGCACTGACCTTGATATTGTGTTGTGACGGTCTTAATAAAGAAGTTATAAAATGTTTACTCCTAGTTTGCTGTCAAACTGAAAGCTAAAGAAAATGTTTGCACAGCTAAGATGGTGCTTTATGATCTAAAAATAAAAACTTTCCTGAGTAAGACTTGCATTTTTTTTTAAATCAATTACAATACATAATTTGAGGGCCCTAAGTGGTGGCAGTGTTTCTCGGGCCTAACAAGTTATGTTTCTGCCATGTTATTATTGCCGACTGCACGATACTGAAAAGTACAAGGTTGGGGGTGGCCTCAAATAGCATAATGCTTATACTAGATTATGTGAAAATGATATGCCCACTTTTCTGTCAGAAGAAATTTGCTCCTGTCTCTGGGGTTGCTCAGTTACTCAGTTATTGGCATTTTATTCAGCCCACCACATCTGAGCAAGGGTGGACAGTAACGTGCGATGGCAAGATAAGATATCTCTGTCTTGCAGAATTTACTTTGAGCAAGCGGTTCTTTCCTCTATGGTTAGATGGCGCAGGCAGCTGTCTTCTGCAATTCCTTAGACACGCATATGCAGCTCATTATACCATTAATTCTTTTACTGTGAAATACTGCAAACTGCCAGCATGTTATTCAAAATGGCTAGCCTGTGAGTAAGTTATTTTATTCCATATTCAGTATCACAGAGTATACAGCATCAGATGGGAGTGGAAAGGGTTTGGAAGAGACTGAGGGGCTCTCTGAACAGATGTTCCTCACAGGATATGCACATGCAGATCCTCATCCTGGAAACGGTAAGAAAGCACACCACTGTGTCTGGGCAGACAGCTCTCAAAATGAATTGTAAGGTAAGGTAAATAGGTAAAGTTATCCCTGGGCTTATTTAATTAAGCATCATGCCATGAAGACATAAGGGGGAGTGAAGGAGTAGCTCCACCATTTCTGAACTCAGCACTAGATAGAGATAAATGGTTAGTTTCAAGCTCCTGCCACTTTAACTTTACCTCTCCTTGTACCCATTGCAAAGAAGGCTGGGGGGGCAAGTCTGAATGTTATGGGGAAGAGAAAAATGTCTTGACCTTGCAAGGAATCAAACCCTGACTCCTTGGTCATCCAGCCCATAGTCTAGTCACTATACTGAGATAAGTGTCTTAAAATATGAAATAAATGACCTCCTTCCGCATCCTTGTGATTCGCCGAACCGGGCCGTCTTTAACATTTAATGCCAATTACCTTTATGGCTGGAAAAACACGATTCCAAAAACTAAAGCCAAGTCAGTAAAGCCATGTGCGGTTCTTACTGTGAGAACCGCAACGTTGACAGTTTGGAAGAGAGGACATAGTGTCTGCCTTTTTATTCAACAGAATGTGAGCTCTGAAAAAGTTAGGACCCAAGGGTGTGTTCAGAAGAAAACTGTCAAATGACTGAAGCCACCAAGCAACATGCAACAAGCTCCAGGTAAGCGATGTCTGATGTCATGTAACAGTAGAACGTAACTGTGAGATTCCAAAACTGTTCAGGCATGAACTTGACCTTAGGTCTAAATTGGAAGGTGCAATTTTGCTAACTCACAAAGTCCGTGAGAGGGAGCTATTGCTGGTATAGTTTTGGATGGCAATCATTAGGAACCTGTATTGAGAATAGATTTAGTTTAGAATAAAGTTGTTACCTTAGCTAGTATCTACTCGCTATTCAGCAGACTGGGGAAGGGGGACTTCGCCACCTTTCATGAGGTCTGTTTGCATAGGCACGAAAGAGAACATTACCAACATTAGAAAACCCCTGCCCTCAAACACCACAGCGCATGGTGTTGGATGCAAACACCACAACACTAGTGTTTTAGTTGCTGTAAATGTTACTAGTTTTCCCCATATATGCAAACATTTACAGGGTATACACAAAAGAATGGTGTGGTTTCAGAAGTCAATAAAAAACACAACACAACATACTCCGTCAGAGGCAGCAACTGTCCAAGTTTCTCATGTGCTACCAGCAGTTCGCTTCTCATGCTTACTGCTTGGCTGTAGGGCCAGTTTCAAACATGGTGTTGCTGCTGAAGAAGGGTTTCTGTGTGCTCTGTTTTGAGGTATCCAGATCTCTGATTACAGTGCAGCGTCATTAACGCATGATAAACTTGGATAGTTGCCACCACTGATGGTGTATGTTGGGAAATAAATTTCTTATTAACTTTTGAAACTGCACCATTCTTTTGTGTATACCCTATATATGTACTGGTGATGAAACAGTCTTTAAGGTGATCTTACATGTTCATCAAACATGAGCTTGTGGTAGAGTGTTGCAAAGTCGTCAAACCCCAACTCTGTTCTCTTCCTTGTATCCACCTCCTGAAACAACTCCCTCAACCTGTTTGTCGATATCTTACAGTTAACTCGTGGCAGAAAGGCCTTCATGTCTTTCAGTGTTATCCTGGAACAAAATGTCACGAACTTACTCACCTCAGTATACTACAAGTCACACAAAATACACAATGTGTTCTTTGCATACAGCACAGGAAATGAACTGCCACAAGGAGGTAACATCTATGTATTTATTCACATGCTTTACCTCTGATACTACTCAACAGATTAAGACGGAAATTCATTTAAAGCTTTTTGATTAATGTTGTGACATACTGTTTAAAATTATTATTCTTGGGAGTACTTGTCTTCTGGAATGTGAAACCATGTTGCATGGCAAAAGTTAACTGACATTTCAGAGGAATGTACTGCTTCTATCTTCAGGGTCAAAGAATAAGCCAAGCAAGCAAAAAAGCAGAAGCAGAGTGCTCTACCTGGCTTACTCTTCAAACCTGTACAACAACAGCAAACTTCTGCCATAACACACAATGCCACATCCCAGGAATCAGTCCTCTTCACAGCCATAAGAACCCCAAATTGTACTGTCTATTATCTGAGATTACTGAAATCAATACATTTTGGAAATTGTTTCTGCTTTCATTTTCAGGCAAAAAGAATAAAAACCTAATTTGTTGGGTCCTTTGGTAGGGTTATTATCAAATTATGTGATTTTAATAAACTCTGATGATAAACGAGCTCCAAATGATGCTTTTAAACAATCAGCATCACAGGTTGTGTCTGATGACGGAACAATCAGGTCAGCACTACAGCTGCCAGGTTCCCTGGATCTGACTGTATAATTTATTTGTGGTGAACTTGAAACACACAGTTTACAGAAACAACCCATGCACTATGGAGGTCTTACAGAAGGAAATAAGGAACGTTATTCTTAGTATCATCAAGAATGAACTTCAATGTGGGTCACAGACTTTGTTATTTTGATGAAAAATGTGCATTAATGTTGGAGGACACCACCTGGAGGAGCTGTGGTAATATGAGATAAGTAAAGCAGTTTTACTGATAACTTTTCTTTTTTAGTATAGACAGAACCTTGATTTGATTGTGCAGCAACAGTCAGTTTGCTTGTGGAAGAAAAAGCAAAGTCTGGAGATCATCTTACTCTATATACAGGTGCTAACAGGGCCATGAACTAAGGAATGTATCTCCATTTACAGGCAACAGGACGGGGTAAATTTTTTATCTTTGGCTGTTCTCCATTTGGTCCACAACAGGACACAAACAGGGATAAGTCAGAAATTGAGATAAAACTTACATTTTTATATAAATGAGGTGACCCAACATGGATAAATTCATCAGTGTTGCCAGCTATAGCACTAAAATCATTACTATAGCTTACTTAATTACCATGTACTGCAGATGTCACTGGGCTCAACAAGTTAGATGTATTTCTCTGTATACTGTAGATTTAAATATAAGAACAAATAACTTAAGTACCTTTACAACATATATCTTCTGGTTCTCTGCATTACTGTGTGTACCTATAATTTTAATTAACAAAATTCTTCTCAGGCTACCAGCCATGACACTTGGCTAAAATTTACCAATGTTTCAAACACAATCGCTGTTCCTGTCATCAAGCTGTGATATGGAGGTCGGTAATTTTTAACCAACTGACATGGATGATAGCCCAAGAAGATTTTATCAGTTTTGACCACCAAAATGGCTTCAGCTCTTGTGGTTCTGTAATTCAATTTTCTGTCATACTCATCTCTCTTACATTTCTCTGCTGTTCTCCATACTGTAGAATTCCTTTCTTAGCCATCTCTCGACTTGGAGAGGATATGATGCAGCAATTGTGTCTGGCACAAGATGTCGCAGACCTCGAACCCAGAGCTCACACTCTTTTTCAGACAAGGCTACACAGAACAAAGTGCAGGAGTAATGTAAAACCATTTAACCCACTTCATGCTATTACAGGATGGCTGGTGGACGCAGCAGAAGGCCAAAGAGCTACCCTGTGATTGACTCAATCTTTTTCAGGTAGTTGTACCAATTTAGGCATCTGAATATGATTCAAAGGTAACAAGGTATGTCACTTAAAGAATGTCTCAAGGAATTAACAGTGATGAAATGAAGTCTGGGAAGAAATCTGAAATAAAAGAATATACAATAGAATCCAAAATGTCCAGGGTGGATGCAAATCAATTTCTCTCTACAATCAGAAATGCCATATAAAATGTAGAAAGGAATATATAACTAACATGTGAAGGTGGATTTATAAAATGAAACACATTTGTACGTGAACTTTACTCACATGCTGCTCATAGAAATATGAGTGTGGCTTCTGAGAGGGTCTTGTGCCATTTCTACATGTTAAGAAGAAAAAGCAAACACAGAAAGCCTTCTCAAGTTTCCAAGTACATGTTCAAATGTGAAATAAAGCTTCCTTCTTTTGTACTTGACCCTTTTTAAAAAGCAATTTCAGATGAAGCTTATCTTTGGACATTGGACATACCAATCAATTTTCTAATCAAAGCCCAACCCCTGATAATCCATCTCCAATTAATCAGGAGTCTACTGTGTGTGTGTGTGTGTGTGTGCGCGCATGAGCATGTCTCTCTCTGTATGTTCTGTAATTTCATACTATATTTGTTCAGTAGTCAATAACTCTAATACCAGGGCACATAATGGTCAACATACATGTGTATCATGAAAGAAATTTATAGTAAAATTAGAAGAGTGAACAAAAGATACGACATGAAACATTAATATTTGTAGATGATGTGTTGATTTGAGATAAAGATGAAGAAACTGAAAAGAAAGTAAATCAACAGAACATTATTATAAAAAAACAAGGACTGAAATGAATATGGGCAAGAAAGGTACTATGAGGACTTTCAAGAACGCAGATCCATGAGCACGAAATTAAACAACATAATGGTTAAACAAGTACAAATTTATTTATTTGGGAAGTAAAATGAATTAAGGAGGAAAAGCTGATGAGGAGATCAACAGAAGGATACAGAATAATTCTGAATGTTATTAAATTACAAGAAAAAAATATGGAACAGAGATATCCTAAAACAGTACAAAACAACAATTTATAAAGTATATTTTAAACTGACCCCAACACACAGAGCCAAGCAGCCAAAGAGAAACAAAAGCAAAACCTAAGCAATGGGTGGGAAATCTCCAAGAAGTATTGAAGGGGAAATAAGGAGGGCTAAAGTTAAAAAGAAGACATTCAGAGAACAAATTGGAACCAATACTTAACACAGAAGACAAATGATTATAACGGCCTGGGGATGTAAGAACAATGGAAAGAGAAAGGATACTGAGAAAGACAACAGGAGTGAAATATTTAGGAAAGAGACTTAGGGTACAACCCAGAAGATGATGACTTCAGATAGATACTGAAAGACATCAAGAGAGGAAGAGGTGGTAATAAACTGGAAAGGAAAGACCATGGAAAGAAAGAAGAGATAGCAGACCTTTTGTCCACTAACATGTACAAAATGGAAATGATACTAGGAGTGGGGGTAGGAGGAGGAGGAGAAGAGAAATTTCTATAGCAGAGTACTATGTGACAGAAAAGCAAAGAATGGAGCATGTTTCATATTTATTACAATATGAGTACAGACTACAATGAAAAAAGAAAAATCAATCAGTTCCACCTCATTATTTACCTGCTATAGAAAGAGTTTTCAACCTGAATTCCAAGCCATAGAATACTACAAAACACTTCATGTTCTCCATTCGTTTTGCATCATCTGGCCACCTCTCAAAATCCTTGGAATTCTTCCCCACACGGATTTCTTTTACTTCCCTGAGATCCACTGAAAAAAAAAACAAAGAGAACCAATATTACAACAGAACAAACAGGCAGCCACGCTATTTCCTGTCTGGCAATTACTCCCAATGTTTAAAGGCTCTAATATTAAGGCCTATGGATGAGGTGGGCAGGGCATGTAGCACGAATGGGGGAGAAGAGGAATGCATGTAGGATATTGGTGGGAAAACCAGAAGGAACACAACCACCAGGAAAACCAAGATGTAGGTGGGTGGATAATATTACAATGGAACTTAGATAGGATGGGAGGGTATGGATTGGATTGATCTGGCTCAGGATAGGGACAAGTGGAGGGCTCTTGTGAACATGGTACTAAGGTAATGAACCTTTGGGTTCCCTAAAATATTGGGAAGTTTTTGAATGACTGCACAACTGGCGGCTTCTCAAGAAGGGCTCAGCTCCATGAGTGAGTGAGTGAATATTATGGCCTGAACAGCATACAAATCACAGCCAGCTTGATATGATAACCATTATGAAAACCTATTTTAACATCCACTTTAATATTATCCTCCCATCTTTCCATGTCACTGAAATTCAGAGAATTCCTCATTTCCATTGTGCAGGATCTGGTTTCAAATATTTGTCCAAAGAAAAGATATTTTAAGACTCTTCATACTTTTCTCTGGTCCCTCCAGGTAAACAATGGTAGAGTATCTTAAAAATGTCATGACTACTTTCTTCAAAAACCTTCTCAATTCACCATTCATAATCATCCTAACAGTCTCTGGGGATTCACAGCAGATGGTCACAATGCAAAGGCCATCAAATGCATACCCCATTAGTCTAGTCTTGTCTAATCTAATCTAATCTAAAACATAATGTTGTTAAACAAACCAAAAAAAGAAAGACAATTCCCATCCATCGTTCAAGCCAAACTTACCACAATTTTGTAACTCTATTTACTCTAACAATATCAGAAGAAAAGATCACAAAGTTCCTTCTTACATAATTATTTTTTCCATTCCCCAATAATTTCATCTCTCTCAGATTCAAATATTTCCTCAGCACTTCCACTCATGTATTGGGTGACTCTTATACTTCCCATAGAATAAAACACTGTATCTCACAGCTACATAATGGAAAAGGCAAAATAATGTTTTTAAATATTTTAATCTTCAATTTTTTTGTTCTTTATGCTAACAACAATAAAAACTTATAAATTATTCTTGTCTTCTTCAGGGTGTTTGTATCTCTGCTGTGCCCATCCATCTGTATGCATGGAATGAATTGAGAATTGCTGCATGGGATTTTGGTGAAATTTCATACTGCAAACTTTAACTGAAATTTGTTGATCCGATCCAATTCTGGTCAGACCTGTGCATACCTTGTTAAACGTTTAACAGAGTGACAAAAGTTTGGAACAACATGTAGAGAACAATACACATGCTATGCCCAGTAAGCTTTTTCTTTTCTAAGTCTTGCAGTTTTCAACATATTATTATTATTATTATTATTGCTAGTGGGGGTGGGACTAAGTCCCTTATACTGCAGCCACTTCTGGTCTATTGTACCAGCCCCAGATGATAGGTGAGGGTGATTTTGCAGCAATTGGTGGAATGAAGATTGGCAGGGGAAACCGAAGTGCTCAGAGAAAACCTGCCCCAGTGCCATTTTGTCCACCAAAAATCCCACTTGACTAGACCTGCGATCGAACCCGGGCTGCCGCGGTGAGAAGCCAGCAACTAACCGCTTGAGCTATGGCGGAATTTCAACAAAACTACAGAAAGTTGAAGAGATGCACCACAATTGTTATGCTATGTGTAAATTTCCTAATATTTTATATACTGCTGTTTGCAAAGAGTTAAAATTCTGATATGTCTTCAAGTAATACAGGCTAGCCAAAAAGTCAGTCAACTTAAAACATTCTCTTGTTTTAACGGGAATGTTCAGTTTCAAGCCTGCCAGTCAGTTTCTAGAACAGTAAGTTAACCAATGGTGTGGTAACAGAACTCAAAAGATCAATGCTTCTAATACCAAAACCTGTAATTAGACACAATTCTGAGCCAGTTCAATACACCTTTCATCCTTAGTTCTTCCTTATGCTCTATGTTAATGTTATTTTCCCACTATCATCCCAGTCTTCCATGTGGATGTTTATAACAGGATTTCCCACTAAGAATTCCGTAAACATTCCTTGTCTCCACTACCTTAAGACACTTGTCCAGCCTTGAGATGGAAGACCACTCATGCCATCTATCTGTCACTATTTAATCAATATATCTGCACTTATCTTCTGTAACAGGAAGCCATTTCTTCTGCCTGAAACCATGCTGTGATGACATGGGACACACTTATGGGTCCTGACTTTTGGAGGTGGTGCGAAGGATCTCAAATTTGCTGAGGTCTACTCAGAGCTATCTAAAAGGCATTTGAATAGTTCTATCTTATCGGACATAATACCATGTAATCCACTGAAAGTAAACCAATATTTTTTGACGAACTTGTCACCTCCATCTTCACAGTCTAAGAGTAAGCCAAGTAAGAAACCAGCTTGTAGCAGGTAGCAAGCAGATGTTCCTCCCTAACATCAGTTGACTTCTAACCAATTATAAAGTATTATATCACAGATGATAGGCCTAGTGATGTCTTGAGACCTACCTTCTTTGCCACTACACTATATTTCTCTTTTGCTATATATGCAAGCAACAGAGTGGGTCATATGAAAAGCGATTTATGAAATTAAGCAGTAAGAACATTACCAAGAAATAATAATATTAATAATCTTACATGTATTATTTGCGGACAGAAGAATATCATTTATGACGACTTCAGAATTAAATGTTACTACATCTACACTGACCGGTTATTCTCATAAGAAGAATTAATTTATTATAAAGAAGTTTAAGAGACTAGTTAGATTTCATTTACATATTGATCTGCTTAATTTGCAGATTTATTTGACAGAATTATTATCTGATGCTCTTCTGATACAAATCAGCTATAAAACTATGGTTTGTCCCATATACTTCTGAAACTGCACATAAAATAATCTAGGGAGAAATAACATTACACCCTTCTCAAGGAAAGAATGAACATAGGCAGTGTGTGTAAAAGCTAGCCTCATGCCTCCATGGCCAATACCAATAACCGAGAAAAGAGTCATTCAATGAAACAAAAGTAAGAATACAAGTGATAACTGGTGGAAGTGGGGAGGATGGCATGCAGAGGGGAGGTAGCCATTAGGCAGATGGTGGAGATGAATCTGAGTTCATTCTTTCCCTGACCCAACTTTGCGAAGAATTAGGACCACACATACCGGCACTTTCAAAAGTTCTTGTAGCAGCTGTCCGAGCCCAAACAACCTGCCTTGTCTCACGTCTAATCATCAAAGTCTTCCTCTCGGGACGTTTACGTGGGTAGAATTTTGTAACAACTGTTCCTCTTTCCAGTTGACTGATGATCTGCTCCATTTCTGTGATGAAACCTGGCAAGGGATTGCTGTTGGGGATCCCTATCATTGCCATCATGAACCTTGTCTTTCAATATAATGTCAACACATATCTGAAACAATTTAACTTTATTCAAAAATATCTAAACATGGATGCATCATAAATATGTTTGCTATCTTGTCACCTTCCACATTATCACAAAACAAATTTATGATTTTCAATGATGAAAATGAGAGTAACTGTGGAATTATATAAAAGTAATTTCTTTTGTGTCTTAAATCTAGTATGGAAAGCATTAAATGCCATCAGAATTTCTAACAGAGTATCTCATGCATTTTTACTCCTACATTTGTAATCACATGATTGGCCATCAAACTTTGGTCTGCTGTTCACAATTTTACCTTGCATTTACTCAGTATAAGTGGTATGTAACCACCACCAGTAATGTGTTAATGGTCACCAGAATTTTTAAAAATTTCAATACTTAACCTCTCTCGCATGTAGCTATCAGTGACTTGACTCAAACTTTCCCTGAGAGTAACTGCCACAATCTCTCTAGCACAGCAGAATTTCTTAGTAAACAATATGCCTATATTTGGGAAAACAATTTTCCATGTGCTAATGCCACATAATGCACTCATGTCCTGTGTATCCTTAAAAATAGTGCACCCATGCCCTGTATATACTTAAGATACATTACACTGAAATAAATAGTAATATTACACTAATAAAACACTTCCATTTTCTTAAAACGGTTTTGGACTAGAAAAGAGTCAGTATACTCATAAATATCAAACAAAAATAATATAAACAAGAGCATACAAAAAAAATCATAATTTCAGTTGTTACAATACAATTCGTAGGAGTATTTTGAAGTTTCATACCTGATAAATGATGTGCATGCAAACAAGTTATCAGTATCATAACCATCCATACAAATTCGACAGTGTGAGAATTTTACGCGCATCTCTAAAACAACTGTTAACGAGTTATTCAGAATAAGTGTACGTGTACAGAATACCAATCCAGTCCAAGGGAAATTACAACAGAGAACACAAATAACCAGTTAAAAACAAACATTCAAATTTTACTTACTTAAGCAAGTTTTTCTCTTAACATAACATGATCAATTCTGCCCATGGGAGGCAACTTCCATATGCATACCCATTGATGTTACTAGTCCATACACCACCTTCCACAAACTTTCATCTTTGACATCAATACTGACAGCTGATTTTAATCACACCTAATGCAACACGATGCACCCGAATACTTAAAACTCCTTCGTAGAGATGGCAGAGTAAACCGTGATTAGATTTTGACCAATAAGTAGCATATGCTGTTCCGATTGGCTGGTCATTTTGCGTGACGACGAGAATTTAGTTTGAAGAATGCCGTCTGCTGGGATGTGGTGCCGTCTATATATTGTGTTAACCGACGTTTTGGAGGAATGTATTGCCTCCATCTTCAGGATAGAAGAAGAAAAAAGAAACAGACGAGAAATTTTCATGACCTGCAGATACTCGACATTAGTCTGTAAGCACCTACTCATTCTAGTTCCTCGATCGCGGATTTTTTTCTTCTACCCTGAAGATGGAGGCGATACATCCTCCGAAAAGTTGGTCAACAAAATATCTACACGGCGCCACATCCAAGAAGGCGCCTTCATTCATAGTCACCGCCGTGAAAACCTCAAATCTTACATAGAATTTACTTTAATTTCGAACACAGAGGCATCGTTGGTCAAAGTACATAATCGGACTTTACTGCCATCTATGAATATGAAAATAACTTATTTCCATCGTCGGTAGCGTTGGTAGTAACCAGTAATTGTAATTCATCATGAAACGAAAAATTTTCTAGTGTAGCATATGAATAGGGTAACAAAATTTTATCCATATATATTACATACTTTCCATAATTTTAAACCCCAAACTTTTATTTATTTATTTCGTCTCTATATATGATTGTTACATGATACAGGACAAGTCAATTACTGTACACTGGCTGATTACAATAAGAGAATAAAGTTACAGTACTTAAAATTGTTTACAATAGATTACAGTAGATTACAATATTAGGTCCTTTCAGTATATTGGCTTCCATATGTCCTATTGTACCTGTACCGGTGATAATGCTTATGGAGAATTTGACGGAATGAGGATTGGCAGGGGAACCGAAGTACTCAGGGAAAACCTGCCCCAGCGCCACTTTGTCCATCACAAATCCCACTTGACTAGACCGCAGCGGTGGGAAGCCAGCGACTAACTGCTTAAGCTATGGCGTGGCCTTTGAGATAATATTGGTGAATTTGGTGATAGCACTGGTATAACTTTTTACTGTAGACTCTACACTGCAACATCTCACTACATCTGTTCTCCCTTCCCGGTGCAGCTTCTTGGCATCTGCAGTCTCTCCAGAATAGCCCATTCAGGTACATCTCCGACAGTGTTATCTTGGTTGCTGGAAGAAAGAAAGGTAAACTGCGCAGTAGGGATTCATGAATTATGTGATTATAATTGATTAGTGTTTGTCTCACACGAGAGAAACTCATCAACTTTACAAAAACAATGATCGAGTAGGTAAGTTTTCAAAGCGTTTTTGAACTTATATAGTACTGGTATTTCTTTAATACATCGTGGCAGATGATTTAGCAGTCAAAGTCCTACATTGTTAAAGTTGTTCTTGCATAGATTTGTATTAAATGGGACAATGTGCAAGTCATATTTTTTCCTTGTGTTGTATGAGTGTAATCCTGAGTTGGTTGTGAAATCATTCGAATTGGATTTTATGTATATTAGAGTTCTGTATATGTACAAAGATGGTAGAGGTAATATATGTAATGATTTGAAAATTTGTTTACAACTAGTTGTTTTTGGGACCTGGGTCATAGCTATTATAGCTCTCTTCTGTAATTTAAAGATCAGTTTTGCATTTACCAAGTTGCCCCAAAATATCAGTCCATATGGTAACAAAGATTGGAAATGAGCATAATATAACATGTTGACAGTCTCTAATCCAGTCACTCTTCTAACTACCCTTAGGCAGGCCAATCACTATTATTACACAATATTAAAGTTTTACTTCTAATTTCCAATGCATAATATTCTTCACTGATTGAAACTGCCTGATGTACAGGTATAATGATCAAAACAAAAACAAATTATAAGGATCTGTAAGTTTCATGTTTGTTTCGTTTTCTAGCAGTGCTCAAAGACTGCAATCTACAGATCTACTGAGGTTGGGTAAGGTTCTGTGTTCAGAATTAATTTCACTGTCCAGATGCCACAACAGGCAAAAAGGGGACCCCTAGGGAGCTATAAAGAAAGACAACTCTGGCTAGTGAACATTTCCCTTTCAAGATGACTGTCTTTTGGGATGGTGCCACATAATATCATGTCCCATATAACAATAGTGTTCACTGTACACAGCTTCCAGCCTCACGCTAAATGGGGATAATAGATGAGCATAATATCTAGAAAGTTGATAAGCAGGAAAATCAAACATCCTTTTGCAAGATTCAGGTTGAGTTTATCAGGAGAAGTCTCCTGAAATGTGATATCACATAGATTGGAACATAGTTACCAATTTCTGGAGGACTGGGTTCCATCTTGAGGAAGTTCGTAGGTAAATACGCGTACCAACATTCACACTTAGCGGACTATACAGCATCACATCCCAGATCATCTTAATTTCATGTTCTTTGTTTAAGCCTGCAGAAGTTCTTTGCAGCAAACTGCTCTCTAAATTGCAAACAGACTGTAACAGAATCATGGACTTACAAATAGCCAAAGACTGTACTGGGCCTTGTGACAGCATGAGGCAGCCTAAGGCAATGGGGATGCAAGTGAGGGCCCAGGGGCCCAAAGCTAATGGTGCCCCATGTGACACTGATGTCACTGACAACATCTTACATACCAACATTTACTATGGTCACACTACAGCTGAAGTGGTTGTGTGCTTCCTTTACCCTGTGGGTGTTTTTGTCCAGTACCAAGGTAACCCATCTCAAATATTTTATGGACAGATGGTTCAGTGTGATTCTACCATTCATAATTCCAAGAGTTGCTAATGCTGTGGTGAGCAACTGGAGCAATCAGTCAGCACATTACTTAAATCTTAGTCCTCAGTTGGAGTTTTCAATCTAACATGGCACTTGGCTTAAGTCAGAATATGGGAAAGTTGTGGGAGTAGTATAATAGTATAGTATATAGTAGTATAAGAATTACAGACGTTGATAATACAACACAGTAATACCAATAATTGTGCTTTTTCTTAACTTCAGCATGTAAACGATTTTTTGGCAAATTTTTATTCTCCAACCTTGTCACCTTCAACATTATTGGCAACTAACAGATACCCATCTGCAACATTTAGTCTTGAAGGTGATCAACTTTAAACAATTTCCTGACAGTAAATCAACTTAGGAAAAGTTTATAGAGTATAAAAAATAGTGACATTTCTTAAAATGCTTGAAAAACACACCTTGAATCTTCATATGAACATTTCTAATATATTATTTTATTACAGAGACACATTATAAGTTTAAATATTTACTCTGTTTTATCTTCATTTAATGAAGCAGTGCTGTAATACAAATGCTTACCTCAGCCTGCCATGAAACTAAATTTTAGCACTTCTATAGGTTTTGAAGTCCACATCAGTGTATGACATGCAATAGCACAAATCACATTACATTGTATCACAGTAACACAGCATCATTATGAGTTTCTATAACTGACCATTCTCAATAGTGTGCAGTGGATTTTACGAGATCCTTCAGGTCTGGAGATTGGTATTCACAAGACTGGATCACTTTTGTAAACATTCTCAGACTGAAGGGAACTTAACATCAGCTCCAGACAGTGGCAAGAGCTATTACTCATCACAGTCACAAAATATTAACTTTAGAAAGGATGACATATTTTAACTGTAAACAATGAGGTAGGTGTACATTAAGATCTGGTCAGCGAAGAAACCTGGAACCCTCTACAATGTTCATTCTCCTACGTTACATCAAGACAGCAAGTTCTGTACTCACGACTCTCAGGTGCTTAATTATTTTTAAACATCAGTTCTCATTTCATTGGTCATACAATTTACAACTATTCTTCAAAAACATGCTCAGATGGTGCCTCTCAAGTTCTTGTACAAAGGTTAAATATATAACATTAAAATATCCAATGGAATAATATGGCCATTATTCTGTGAGGGCTTTAAATGAGTTTGTCTTTCATTACCAATCATAACCGCTTAAGTTGAATAAGGTGAACAATTCTAAGAAGAAATTTGTTTAAGTATTTTACGCTACAATAACGGATCTTCATTGGATCTATTTTACCACAGGAGTCGATACATCAGGGGCCCTTCCCAGATATTGCAGCACTGTGAAATACAGCTGAATGCATTGCTCTGTTGCACCCTGATGCCTGGAACAAATAACAGAAAAGCTTATACATAAATTCAACAATTTGTTGAAGAACTTTCATTGCAAAGGAAAAGAGGCACTTCATAATACACAAGCCAACACAGTGAAAAATATCAGATTCTCAGTCCATAAACCAAAATGTCAGATAACAGCAGCAGTAATATATAACAAATAAGGTTCATGCTGAGTGCTATCTTCTGGGATGTGACACCATGTAGTCTGGCAGAAGTTCGTCCTTCTAGATAGCACTCTTCATGATAACTTCAAATTCGACAAGACAGACAAATTCACGAAATTCTTGAAGAGTAGAGACTATAGTAAATTCTCCAATTTGCCTGCTTGATTCAAGGTCCTTACATTCCATGTTCCAATCTTGTACCCATGATGTTCCTTGATGCTTCCAGTCGCTGCTTCCGGCATCAGTTTTTGGTCTCTCTCTTCGTCTGATGCCTACCCTTTGAACAGTCCAGCAAGAGAGGCCCTGGCCACGCTACCGGTGGTATAGCTCTCAGCTCTCAGAGTCCTTGGCATACTCAAACCCGCTCACCACGATAAGGTGGAGACACCAACGAGGGGGCTCCTACAGATACTCTCCACGAAACTGCCAGCGACCAAGTGACCCAAGTGACAGTGCAAGAGCCACGGATCACGCGCACGGCGATGTCCACGGTAACCTCATTGTCACCTACTTGAAAACTTGACGCTGTACACGTCGTATCTACATCTTACCCATCTGACAAGGTCTAAGGGTGCACGGTGGATCGAAGTGTAAAATTTTCAGTTCTAATATTATTATTTTTAGGCTAATTTGGACGATGACAATTGCCATGGGTATTATATGAATGTAAAAAAACTGTTGATGTCATAAGAAGGGTAGCATAAACGTGTTCAGTGGAAAAATAACCGGTTGTATGGACTAAAATGCGGAAGACTACTTTGTGTGCCGAACTAAATAAGTTTTCTGTCCGTGCTCAATGTTGTTTATGGACCGTAATAATATCGACCGCATCGAATTACTTCCAAAATATAAATTGATCTTGTTAAATATGCTGTGTTTACATTTTTAAGTACCATTGGTTCTGCTTAGAATTAGTTATAGCGTATGACGAATGAATTGAACTATGTTTTGATGCGTCATGTCTTCCAATGCATACAATTTTATTCAGTTCGTTGTGACATGAAGCTAAAATGGCGCTTTTGCGTGTGGTTAATGTTCTCGTGAAGAAACAAATATTATAATATTTGTACATTTGTGCATATACATTAGTACATACATGTTATTTTGAAATATTATGTGTATGTAATGAAGGATGGTACACGTTTACGTTGCTTTTTGTTTGAGTTTTAGCTTATGTTGAGAGGAACCAGAAGTGAACGTATTATCCCACCTGAGGAATGTCAAGATTTCAGACGTGTGATTTTGCACCGTACTTTTGACGTAAAAAGACAGCAGTCTTCGATTAAAAATGGGTGGAATATGAGAATTGGCTATTGTGTTAAGTGAGACTACGTGCAAAAGTGACTATTCATGTGTAAACATTCCAAAAGACAATACAACCTACAACAATTTATTTGGTCGATCTTATAATTATAGAACCTGGATAGTGGAAGTATGGCCTTCAATGAGGTTAGTAGCGATATTTATACAAACTCTGGTACATATATGATATCTTCGTGCTTTGTAAAGAATGCGTTTGTAAATTGTGTAGGCCCATCGTAAATATTATACTTGTATTTAATGTTGGGGTAATCTTATACATGCATAGGGTTAAGTGGAAGTGGATATCACATTCGTGTTTTCACATTGTGTCATAATGTCATATTTCATATGTTTGAGGTTATAAACTGCTCTATATTCAGAAGCTTCAGTCTTTTGTTGGGGTTTGCATGGATTGGCGTGGTTTAAAATGGGATAGAGTAGTTTACTATGTACTGCATTATGTCTTTTTCTGGCTCAAAGAAATGCAAATGATTAGTTTTCTGGTTAGATTTATTTTCTGTTATAATGTTGCCATGGAGCTTCTACTATAGGAACATTATGTTTAAAGTTGTTTGTCTGGTCTGCGGTTTGATATGCCCTTAAACTTTGCTGTGTACTGCAACTGAAAGGAATACTTATCATTTTTAAGTCTATCCCTGTTCCACTTTCTGAAAATAAAGAAGTGTGTAATATTAGTTATAATAAGATGTATAATGGACAACATGGAAATGCTTAGGCAAACCCAAAGGTGTATCTAGTTGATAAAAAGACATTTATATAATCTTGATCAGTTAACCTTACAGTCTGTGAAAACCGATTTTGTGACATGGAGATAAAACTGTGTAACAAGTACAGGTTCAAAATGGGGCATGCGGTAGCATAGTGGTTGAGGGGCTTTGCTACAAGCCGGAAGGTCGCGGGTTCGAGTCCCGATGAGGTCATTGGATTTTTTTTTCAGTTGACCTAATCCTTCCAGCCGCACTAGGCCCTGGGGTTTACTCAGCCTCTAACAGAAATGAGTACCAGGAATTAATTAAATAATTTTCCTGGGGGCTGACAACCTTACCGCCATCTTTGAGCCGGTTGTCTAGATAGTGTGGGACCCTCAACGTCTCGCAACCCTATGGGCCTTCACGGCCTGTTACAGGGATAGTTCAAAATTAAATGTTTTTTTCTGATAATGGTAAGCAGTTTAAAGTAGTGTTGAATGATTTCTTCTTTATTGACATAATATGCTCAGCTGATTAATTTATATATATATACATCAGGTTTTAATATAGATGTCTTATTTTAGTAATATTATTCAGATGTTATTAACAGATTGTAATAGTAAGTTTCATGTGTATGCATGTGTAATGCAAACAACATATTTGTGATAAATTGTCCCTGTGCATAACAATGCATGATGACTTGAAGCTGTTTAAGGGGGGGGGGAAGGTATACCTCCATGCATTCCTTAACCTTTGCACTGAATGGAGGTGAATGGTCAACTTCAATTAAATGATTCCTGCAGGACCCCTTAAAATTGAAAGGGTTGTGCTAAGCATTGCTGTGGAGCAAAACATCTTGTAAAATCAGTTTGTAGGGTTTTGATCAAATTGTTGAGTTTGTATATGAATGTATAAGGGATGGGCCTTCTCGGCCCTTGCACTGTGACCTACAGTGTTCTATTGTGCTTTAAATTGTTGAGTTTAGTATGTTCTGCAGTATGTAGAGAATAAATTACATTGTATGTACTATGTACAAATTGGAAGTTTAGAATAATAATAATAAGAAAGACAGGATTAACAACAAGACATGATGATGGTGATTATTATTTTTCTTTCCTTCATTTTTTAACAATAGGTTGTCAGGCAGTCATTTAAAGGGAAAAGCCCATATTACGAGAAGATAATAAGTAAGATCTAAAAGTTTGTGACGATGGTAAATTGCTACAAGTACTATGTTTTTGGGCATTATCCATCATCTTGTCTATTTTCAAAAACCGTCCTGTTTCTGTTTTAAGACAATGTTTCGGAGACTGGATTCTGTCCCCGTCCTCAGGTAAAACCTCATTTGGGTCCAGTAGATCTCCGCACCGGAGGTAGGGGCCAGCTCTATCTATTGGACTCAACTGAGTAGGTTTTACCTAAGGACGGGGACAGAATCCAGTCTCTGAAACGCTGTGTTTTAAAAAGGAAACAGGATGGTTTTTTAAAAACAGACAAGATGATGGATAATGTCCAAAAATATAGTACTTGTAGGAGATGTTAAGGCTGTAACATACGAGTCATTGAGAGAAAGTAGAACTTCATGAAGTGAATGTAATTTGGGGATGTCACTATATTGTATATGTGCTCTTATATTTTCAGTAGTGCATTCTACTGAAAAAATATTCCTATCCATAATGTGTATATAGTGCATTCTACTGAAAAAATATTCCTATCCATAATGTGTATATATTTACCGTCTTTTAGTGCATACAGTTTCACTTGTCACTTCACACTACATGTTTCTGCATCATTCTGCCATCCTCAGGTGTATCAGGTGTACCTCAACCAAAACGAAGACAGGACACACACACATATGTCCAGCAATACAACGCACGCAGGCACATAAGAAAGACCCATCATAAGACACAATATATACACAATTGAAACATAAGAAGAACAACTCCCATAGCGGATGAATGGCATTACACACGAGTTTGATATACGACATGTAAGATGATAGATCTTAACAAGTTGTAATATATACATTTTATTATTCAACAATGACGAACACACATTTTATATTATTTTATAAATGGACACTTGATGGCAGGCAGTGCAATGGTTTAACGTGATTGATACACCTGAGGATGGCAGAATGATGCTGCAACATGTAGTGTGAAGTGACAAGTGAAATTGTATGCACTAAAAGACGGTAAATATATACACATTATGGATATGAATCAGTGCAACAGGACGCTAAAATGCAACATTAATAACATTCCTCTTTGTGGGAGCAGTGAAAACTCAGATTGTTGGGTTTTATGATAGTGATCTTAAATACACTAACTTTCAGTTCTTCAAGATTTTCATTTCATGACATCTGTCCAGAACATGAAGTCACTGAAATGTTTTTCGTCACCTCTTAGGACAATCTGATTGCCAAACATTTTTATCACCTCTTTTCGTTAATAATGTGGCAACTGAAATATATTTTATCATCTCTTTTCAAGTTCACCTGATACTCCAAATCATAATTCTTCATCACCCCTCTTCACAAGCCATGTAGTTGCTCCCTGCTGTTCCTTTGTCCATTGATGGCTTCACCGTTGATACACTTCCTGATGTGAAGTCTATGTAAGTAGCTGCCCTCCTGTGGAAATTATCAACCCTGAGAAAAACACACAAACTTTAATTGATGCAAGTAAAGAGGCTGGACTAGAAGGAAACACAGAGAAAACTAAGTATATGTTACCGTCTTCTCACCAAAATGCAGGGCAAAATCATGACATAAAGATAGGAAACAGATGTTTTGAAAATGTGACACAGTTCAGATATTTGGGAACAACGATAACAGATCAAAACCTGATTCAGGAGGAAATTAAGAGGAGATTGAACTCGGGTAATGCTCGCTACCATTCAGTCCAGAACCTTTTTGTCTTCTCATCTGTTGTCCAAAAACATAACAATTAGAATATACAAAACTATAATTTTGCCTGTGGTTCTGTATGGGTGTGAAACGTGATCTCTAACATTAAGGGAGTGAAATAGATTGAGGGTGTTCGAGAACAGGGTGTTGAGAATAACTGAAGAGGGATGAGGTGACAGGAGGTTGGAGAAAACTGCATAATGAGGAGCTTCATAACTTGTACTCTTCTCCAAGTATAATTACAATGATCAAGTGAAGGAGGATGATGTGGGCAGGTCATGTAGCAGGAATGGGGGAGAGGAATGCGTATAGGATATTGGTGAGAAAGCCAGAAGGAAGGAGACCACAAGGAAGACCAAGGCGTAGGTGGGTGGACGATATTAGAATGGATCTTAGAGAGATAGGATGGGATGGTATGGATTGGATAGATCTGGCTCAGGATAGGGATCAGTGGAGGGCTCTTGTGAACATGGTGATGAACCTTCGGGTTCCATAAAATGCTGGGAAATTCTTGAGTAGCTGCAGAATTGGCGGCTCCTCAAGAAGGGCTCAGCTCCATGAGTAAGTATTCAGTATTCAGTATTGAGGGGGTGGGCTTCCCCATGCACTTAAACCAGTTATTGGTCCATTGTGCGTCCCCCTTTTAATTTCTACTGTCTCCATACCCTACCGATACTGGTGCTTACTATCAGCCCCTTTCTGCCAGCAAGGTTCCAACCTTCTACTGGCAGTGGTATCTAATAGTTAGTCCCTTTCTGTCAGAGAGGTCCCCCCTCCTCTGGCAATGGTACCTAATACTTCCCCCATTTACCAGAGGCATTGGAAACTACTTTGGGCAGGAAACTTCTTGGCCAAATTTAGCTCAGAGGTCTCCTAGAGACATGAGGTTCTTTTACGTGCCGTAAATCTACGACATGAGACCCACGGCTTAAAGTCCCTCCCGGAGGACTTGTTCCCCGAATTTTTCCGCCCTTAAAAATTCCACTACCTCCGCTGGGTTTGAACCCGTGTACCTTGAGTCATGAGGTAGGAACGTTACCCCTAGAGTACGGAGGCCGCTTCCGTGAGTAAGTAAGTAAGTAAGTAAGTAAGTAAGTAAGTAAGAAGTTGGGAACTGCAAGGTTTGCCAAAAGTTTGGGAAACCCTCAAAAGTCTATGTAGTGTATTTCTGAAAACCTAACACACTTGTAGTAAGTTTGGGAAAGAACTTAATGTTGTGTACTTCATTTAAAATGTTTCCATGTAACAATATGTAATTGTAATTACCTTTACTGACCAAAGGTTCAGAGAATAACTGCTTGTTATAACTAACATGAACTTCTAGTACTATGTGATGATATTTTGGCATCTGCATGAGTGTGTTTAATTTTGTTATTGCCATATACTTAATCCCGCTTGACTGTGGCATTGTAGAATCCATTGAAAAATATGTGTGTATGTGCATCCATGCGTGTGTTTGCCAGGGGGGGGGGGTCCAAAAAAAATTATATTTTTGTGTATTTTAATCTTTACATTTCTGGATAGCAGAT